AGACATGGGGCAGTGCGCCTCATACTTTACATAGGGGAGGCCCCGTTATTAAATGCTCAGGTCTGGAGTATTTAATGCTCATTCTTCTAGGCTTCTAGAGCCATCATGGATGTCCCATCAACTGAGTTTATTAAATGCTTGCCTGAGATAGCTACATGTCAGTAGGGGCATTTTTGTCCATTTAGCCCCTAGCCTGTACTTCATGCCACGTGTTTGACTCCTCTTGGTGGAGTGTCTTGTTCATTCTGTCATTCTGACATTATTGGAAAGAGTAACCTTATGATCCCTAGTCTAGTTCTAAAAGTGACTAGTTGTCAATCAATAGCCTTTGGGGTCGAGTATACATGGTACGTGATGAAGACTCCGAGGTGCCTTAACGTCGAGATGACATGTCAGGTGGAGAAAACTCCACGGACAATATGTCGTGGACTCCGAGAACGACATGTCTTGGACTCCGATGTACTTTTAGTGGAAGGCTCTGAGGTACTTTTAGTAGAGGGCTTCGAGGTACCCTTAGTGCCTAGATGACGTGTCACTTGTAAGAAGCTCCAAGGTGCCGAGGACACATGTCGTCCAAAGAACACCTCGCGACCAATATGTCAAGGACACGTGCCTCGTCCCTTTTGATCACAGAAAATGTCTCATCAATATATTTTGGAAATTCAAAATCCACTAAATGTACCGGTGTTTAAAAATCTTAACTACTCCAAAAAAAAAATGAATGGATCCTTAAATTCTTGTTAAATTGGATAACCCCTCTACCTAGAGTGATTGTAGTGATTACTGTTTTTTTTTTCTTTTTTCAACAGTTAGGGGTGTTTGGATCAGTTTATACGCACCTCAACTAATTCGCTCATCGGTCCGATCAAAGGCAGGCCGTCTATGCTGGTACTAGGATATTTATGAAGGATAAATCTTTCAATGTCTGACCCCCAATGAGTTATCAAGATTTGAACTCAAGACATCTAAATTTATAATTCGTCTTTATTACCACTTGAGCTATCCTTAAAATTATAGTGATAACTGCTCATTTTAATGATTATCTGTTTTTGTTTTAATTTTTTGTTGCCTTTCTTGGATTGTTGGAAATTAATTGGAATTGGGCATGTGTTGGGCAAACCATGGGATTGCTCTTAGCACTACATAATTTGATCACATGGGTAGAATTAGATTAGGATAATTTTTTAAAAAAATTACCACATGGGTAGAATTAGATCAGGATAATTTTTTTAAAAAAATTACATGTGTCATGTTATATTAAATAAAAATTAAAAGTATGGTACCAAAAATTTTATTTTTTGGTATCGAAATAGGTCCAAAACCTATACTAAGGATGTCAATTTACTTTCGATCGTGTCATTTTGGGCCGTATCACCTTTAGTATGTGTTGTATTTGTGTTAATATTTGTATTAAAAAAATATTTAATTTTACACATGTCATAATCGTGTTAATTAATCATATTATTTTTAAATTTTACGTTGAATCTAGTTTATGTCAAGTTTGTGTCAATAAGGAAGATTGAAACTCTTTGATGTGATGGTGGGGTGGGTAATGGTTGGAGGTCAATGGAGTACTGGTGACAACTGCATTATTGATTTTTTTTTTTTTTTTGAACACGACTGCATTATTGATTGATGAAGGCAATTTTGCAACCATAACAAGTTGCTTTCTACTTTTCTTCTCTGACTCAAAGGTCGGTACCTGGCTGGCTAAGTGCAGACTATTACAGGGTTATAACCTGGCTGGCTAATCATTGAAATATATAAAAAAAGTAAGAAAATAAAACTAGGAGGGTTGCTTGAATTTAACCCAAATTTTCAAATTATCATGAAATGAATTTGTTCAGTAATTAATGTCAGAATTCTGAATAAAATAAGAAACATATTAAAAAAGTCATAATAAAACATAGATAGGATTATTAACAATCTGATAGGAAATATAAAAATTTAACAATATCTAAATTATATTGGGTTATATTATTTTATCCTTATAAATAAGTTTGAATATTATGTAATCAGTTAACAAATAATCAATTTTTTAATAAATAATACATGGATGCAAGTTTTTGATTTGTGCGGTTGTCGGTATGTTGTACCAAGATGAGTATGTTATATTATATATTTGTCATGTTTTCATTTATTTTTTTTTATCATGTTTTCATTGTTTTTCCTATCTTAAATTCCTATCCTCCTACTTATGTTATTAATGTTAATTATCTGCGGTACAAAACTAATAAAGCGTGTTTGTGTAGTTTATTTTTTTGGGAAAAATTTTAGTCACACCATTTCTAATATATCATATCTTCAAGGACATTTCCATCTATTTTCTGAATATTCACTGACACCCCTTTTAGTTTATGTTTAAACATCATTAACACCGCTACCGTTAAACTACCGTTTCTAACAACAACAACAAAAAATCAATTAAATGACCGGAATTGACCCTACATAAACTCCAAACAATATTTCTACATAAAATTTGAGCTGCTTAATTTTTTTTTTTTACATTTTAAAATTTGAGCTGATTAAAATTTATTTTTTTGTATATTAAAATTTCAGCCAATTAAAATTAGATTCAAGTTGATTAAAATTTATTTTTTTTTATAAATTAAAACTCGGACTAATTAAAATTTAATTCGAATTGATTAAAATTTGATTGAACATACACAACATTTTTACCATTTTTACGTTGGATTTAGAGCGGTCGCCTTTCATTTTGCTAACATTGCATGAGTGCAATGGTACAGGCTTCAGATGTGAGAATGCCACATCAGAATAAAACAAAAAAAATGAATAATTTTATATCGTATGAATGCACTCAATAGACTTAATCTTTAATTGTTAGATTAATAAAAAAAACGAGGAATTAGGTTATGAACAAGTGAGAACTTGTGCGATGCATCGAGACTAATTAAATATGTTAGATTCGAGTTGATTAGTGTTCGACACGAACTTATAAATGAATTAAAATAAATTAAAAATTTTAATTTGTAGAATTTATTTTTGTCTGTTGGATATATTTAACGACCGGAGATACCTGTAAATCAACCTCAATCATAGGGGTATAAAGGTAAAAGTCAATCGACGTTTACTAACAGGGGATGTGAGTGAAAGTTCAAAAAATAAAGAGGATGTCTTTCAAGATATAGCAAATTCGAAGGGGTATGACTGTAGTTTTCCTTTTTTTTTGGACATTGGATCTAAAATGACGTGTTTGGCTGAAGTGCAACCCCATAACGTGTGCAGATGTATTTAAATAAGAAGACTCCAAATGAGGGTGGCTATAATACCTGTCAGCAAGACAATAACCTCCTGGTCGGTACAACATGCATTGATTTGGGTACTTACATCCCTACTTTAGTAATTTATGTCTTTCTTTTACCATTAATTTAGGCAAGGACAAAGGAGATCCTGTTAAGAAAAACATGACCCTATCTGATTATCATGTGAAAGGTGTTCTACTCCCACATGCAGTTGAATCACAGAATGACATGCAATCGTTTACAAATACATATAAACATACCAGTATGCATGTATAATTTTCAGGTCAGTGGAGATGACTTGTTTTCTAAGAGAAATAAATATTATAAAAGGACATAGGGCTTATGACATAATGACAATTATTTATGGTATAAAATAGAGAGATTGATGACGGGACATACTTTGATAGAACTATTAAGAAAGGAGATGTGGATCAATGACAAGGCCAATAGCTTCAATAAAGTATTTGGACCATATCAAATTAAGAAATTTTTGGGGTCGATAGTTACATATACTATTATTGTAATTTATTGATGTCATTTGTATTAGATTGATGTGATAAAAGACAAAAAATATTACTGCATCTTGTATTTATGCAAGAATCAACACGAAATTTCAAACATACACGTAGTGATAATCGTGCACACGGGTTAATAAGGTGATACCTTGAGAGAGGTCAGCATTTAATACTTGAACTTGAGCTGGATCATCATTCAACTTTTGACCCATGATTACCTGCAAGTTATCCTTAAGTCTAATAAATGTATGTACGACTCGAATCCTCTCTATGACAAGATGAGTGACTTTTTTGATTAAGCAACCACTAATACGACTGTCTTGCACATGGATCAAGCGGAGGGATTCACTTCCACAAGGTTATCAAGTTGTCGACCTAGACATCATTGCAAGGAGTCCAAAATCATCAGTGCCTCAAGGTATAGAATAGTCCGAGGGTTGGACGTCAGGCATGCAAGTGAAAATACACAATACAGTAGCTTTCGTATTCTCCTAATCCCTTCATAATTCTTTGGTGTTGCAGGAACTTTGATGCGATTTATTTAGGTGTTTTTATCTAATTGATTGTCGAACATTTAGGTGTTTTTATCTCATTAATTATCAAAAATTATAACACGGTAAAAAAATAATACGGCACGACCAACACAATTTACACACCTTGTGATGAGTAGACAATAGAACTAACGAAACTGATTAAAATACCTCTCGCTGATAAAAACAGAATGTATATGGTGGGTCCTATACGGGCATTTTGGGAATTTTAGGGTGAAAACCTTAAGGGTTACCGAATGTTATTTACCCAACTATATATTCAGTCTCTCTTCAAAGCCACCCAAAGAACGAAACTTCATAATATTCCGTTTTCTCGTAGCCTCCAACACTTGTGTCCCATCGCTTTCTCTCTCTCTCTCTCTCTCTCTCGTTTCATCCCTGTACGTTCTTGGTTAGTCGTTTCAGAAGCAAAATAGAACACAAATTTGGTTCGTTTGTACTTAGAAAGCTGAAGTGTTTTTTTGATTTTTTTCAAAGCAGAAACACTCAAGAATCTGCGATTTATAGTTTGTATTGGAAGCTTTTTATTCGAATTTTTTCGATAACAGAATTCGGATAGGTTTGAAAGTGTTTTCTGGAAGTAGAAAACGCTTTTAAATTTGTGTTTTACGTGGATTCCTACTCGTCAATTTTGAGATCTCGCTGGATCACAGCACTGATTTTTGGAAGTAAAAACACTTTCTAATCTGTGTTTTTACTTGGATTCCACTTTTAAATTTGAGATCTCACTGGATCACATCAACTAGACATAGCGGAAATTCATTCAGTTCATGTTCAAATTCGAAGGTAGGGCACTGATCTGTGTTTTACTTCTATTCTATTCTGCAATTTCGAGATCTCACTGGATCACATGACGTATTCATAATCAGTGTTCATTCAGTTCATGCTCAAATTCGATGATAAGGCACTAAGCTGATTCTTCTTCTTATTCTTCTCTCTCTCTCTCTCACACACACACACAGAGGCACACATGTGTTCTATGCATAAATACACAAACACTAACACAAATACAGTCGTGTTTGTGTTTGTGCAATTGAAGTTGTGAGAAAGCTTAAGCTTTATTTGACTGATATAGTTGAGATGTATTGCTTTTTTAATTTACTTTGGCAGAGTTTGAGCTTAGAAAGTCACTGAAACGAAGTTCACAGATTGAAAGTCGTGATTTAGAAGGACGATTGAGCGTTTTGTGGTGTTGTGAACGGTGAATTTCTTTTTGGATAGTTTTCGGAGTTTCAATTGAGTTGGAGAAATATGGGGGTTGACTTGAGGTCTGTCGTGCCAAAGATGAACCTCTCGTCAGCCTCTGATTACACTTCGATTGTGGCAATTACCTTATTCGTTGCGCTCCTTTGCGCGTGTATTGTGATCGGTCATTTGTTGGAGGAGAATCGGTGGATGAATGAGTCAATTACAGCCCTTGCAATTGTGAGTTCTTCTATATAGTCATCTCCCTCTGTGTGTGTATTTTATGGCGATTACTGGGGGGTTAGATTTTAGTGTCGTGGTTTGATCACAGGGTTTGAGCACTGGAGTTGTGATTCTATTAACAAGTGGTGGGACAAGCTCGCATCTTTTGCTTTTCAGTGAAGATCTTTTCTTCATTTATCTTCTTCCGCCAATAATATTCAATGCTGGGTATGCTGCACATTTTCTTAATTATCTTCCTTTTGTGAGTTCAATGTAATCTGTATATAGCTTCTTATTTGCAAGCTAATCTTACAATTCCTTAGGCTGCCACACAGATAAACACTGTCAACATTCTGTTATTTCAACACATTGTTGTACTATATTGTAATGTATTGCTTCAATTTTGCTAAAAGAGGTAGTGGTTTTAGCTGTAATATGAAAAATGAAAGCACACTAATGAATTGAAGTTGGTGTCTAGGGTTGAGACTTCAATGGCATTGTAAATTCTGATGGGTTCAATCTACCAATTTTCCCTTTGTGGTACTAGAGTGTCTGTTTTCCAGCCCCTATCATTGCACCACAGAATGGAGAATAATTGGTTTTCTGAGACTAAAGCTAACTGTATGGAGGAATAGGCTGTTCCTTTGTTAGAGAAATTGAAGCCTGAATTCCTTAGGTGGTCATGAATAAGTGCTTAACTATTCATTTTGAGCTTCAATATATTGTATTCTGCGATTATGGCATGGTAGCAGACTATACTAACTCATGCTGGATTGCAAATTCAGATTTATGAACAGGAAAAATATGAAAAGTTTTGGGCTATTAATTAAAAGGTGGGACAGTTTGTTTGGTGCAATAATAAACTGCTTTCTATATTTAACATTTGCTTGTCCAAAGAGTATTTTGGGAAGGGAAGTCTATTAGGAATTTCAATAAAAATAAGTTGAGAAGCTTGTAAGCCGCAACGTCTAAGAGTTACGGCACAATATTGTTGTTTGGAAGATAGCAGTTGTCCATTGCATTTATGTGATGATGCAGATTATTCACTACTAACTAGCAAGAAACGATTGCATCATCAACTTATGTGATGGTTGGATTTCAACTTTTTTAGGAGCAATGTCTTACTTCGGAACATTCCTTTGTGTGCATGTTCACGAATGCGTATATCATGGCCAAATTAGGACACCGAGGGAAGCTTTTGCCAATTGTTTGTCATTTGAGTTTTAGTTATTGTGCTATTGACTTCTAATATCTACGTGGAATGATAATAATTCATGCTTTTCTTTTTTCTTTTTTATGTGCCCTTCCAAGGCACTTTTCTTGGGTTGGTCTACTTGTCCAACTATGATATATCTTTTGTAACTTTTAGCTTTTATCATTAATAAAAGTGTTGTTTCTTATCGAAAAATAATAATAATTCATGAATGGTAAAAGCGGCCAAATTCTAGTTGAAATTCAATATGGTTTTTCTTGGGTGGAATCATTTACAAGGTGATGATTATGAGTTTCCTTCTTTTTCCTTGATTCATCAGGTTCCAGGTAAAGAAGAAACAGTTCTTTCGCAACTTCATGACTATCACACTCTTTGGTGCTGTTGGTACTCTGATATCCTTTGTCATCATATCATTAGGTATGCTCTAATGTCTTTAATTGTGTAATTTTGTACTTTTTCATGTGCAAGAATATACCACAAAAAAGAAGAGTAAGAGTATCTCCAATCATTACCCTTTTTTAATCCTAAATTTAAATTTGGGTAAAAATCTCCTAAAAATTTTCTCCAATGCTAGACTTGTACTCATATCAAATAAAGGGAAATTTTTTTTACTCAAATCAAGGGAAACTCAAATCCATACGTAAATTTTTAATTGTGAGATTTTACTTTCCTTTAAAGATCCAATGATCATATTTTACCCTCTTTTAAATTTTAATTTGTTCTCATTTAATTTGAATTTTTCTCCCTTTAAATTTGAGTTTCTCCATTTGATAATTCTATACCAAATCAAGTTTTTTTACCCTTTTTTAAACTTAAATTTGGGTAAGGGTATGAGTCTCCATCGGAGATGGTCTAACTATTGTTTTTAATTTTTGACCAGGTGCTATTATCCTTTTCAAGAAAATGAATATGGGCTCCCTCGAACTGGGAGATTATCTTGGTACCATTCAACTCTCTGTTTCCATATTATTTTTTCTTTTTATTTTCAAATAATACTAATAAGTATTAATTTTCCCATCAAAAATAATTAGATCTTATCAAATAGTTAATTGGACAATCAGTGTTATTTAAGGTGTAAAGCGAATTGAAGCGACCAAGGCTCCTAACGCCTAAGCGAGAAGCGAAGCAAAGTGAAACGCTTTACCGAAGCGAAACGAACAGTTAAAAAAAAAGTAAATATTTTAGTTTAATTACTTCTAAACATCAGCATTCAGCATTACAACACTATCACACTACAATTAATGGAACAAAATAGTACAGGAAATCAACATTCAACAAAATCAGTACTATCAGCATTACAACACTATCAGCAAAATCAATAGCATTAAAATTAAAAATTAGAATTAAAATCAGCAGCTATTCAAAAAACAGCAGCATTAAAATCAGAAAGCAAAAAAAAACATAAAGCAAAAAAACGAGAGAAAAAAAAGAAGCAGCAGTTGAAAGAAGAAGCTGGAAAAAAAAACAGAATGAAGAAGCAGAAAAAAAAAAACTGAAAGAAGAAGTAGAAAAAAAAATTGAAAGAAGAAGCAAAAAAAAAACATAATCAAATAGGAAGAAGAGATACAAAAAAGAGAAGAAAAAGAGGAGACAAACCTGGACCAACGAGAAATGAGAAGTAGTAGTAGTCTTCGTCTCTGACCAGTGAGCAAGGAATAGCACAACAACAATGATCGCCTAACCAGGGAAGAAGGAGCAGCAGCGATCGTGAGAGGAAGGAGAAGCAACAATGATGATCTAATCCTGAAAATTAGGTTTGGGTTTTATATTTATGGGATAAGGGGGTAATTGAATATATTGACATCTTATAATTTTTTTTCCAATTACCCCAATCCAACAGTCCACAATGAAAATAAAAGACTACTTTGCTTCGCATGACTAAGGCGTTCGCTTTTTCGCCTTTCCCTTAAGCGCAAGGTGCTCGCTTTTTCTCGCTTCAGTCACGTTCGCTTCGCTTGGGCTGTTTAAGGTGAGATATCTTCGTTTCGCCCCGCTTCTTGCCTAGGCGAACTTTTCAAAACACTGTGGACAATTAAGTCCTAACGTAATAATTTGTTCCAAAAAAGTTCAAGATTCCATCAATAGCATATTTTATTCCACTTTTATCTTTCTTCATGAGAACACTAGTTAAAATTTTACCCATAACTTTATGACTAATTTTGATTTATGTAGAAAGCATTATTGTTTTTGTATCTCTAGGTTGCTGTGAAATCTGAGACTTATTTTCTTTAAATTATTTACCGATTCAATACATGTTTGACATAAAATTTGCCATATTTCGACCATGGCCGACTTGATACAGATTGGGGCCCTCAAAAAAAGTTTTAATTAGGGGCCCTTCAAAATTAAATATAAGTATTTAAATAATACAATGATAATTATGTGAAAAAATATGTTTCTCACTTTTGATGATGCAAAGTTACTAATTAAGCTTCTATATTCAAGTTTTGCTAATATATGCTTTTTAATAGATTACAACTACTCTGTGTAATTTTTTTGTGACAAAGTTAATCACAACTAGGATTCCCTTAGCTTTATTTCTGGAAAAATTCTTTTCGCTATTGTTAATAGTATTTTTGTATAGTGTTCTCATGTACTCTGATAAGTTGTTATTATTATTATTATTATTTTTGGTCAGGTGATATGTTATTATTGTATTGCTAGTTCTATTTATAGAACTTCTTTTAAAAGTTTTTAGTTTTGAAGGCAAATCTAACCCATCAATGTTGAAAAATTGATCACGTTGAAAAAATTCTTAGAATTACAAGAATATTTTATAAACTCTTGTCATATGAGGACTTTAATATTTTGCAACTTGTATAAAAAATATCGTCATACAATTTAGATTGTTCCAATCTAGCTAACTTGATCTACTACTTAATGAATAATTAATTGTAAAAGATTCTTCAGGTAATATGTATAATCAAGAATAAGAGAAACCAAAATTGTGAAACTAGATAGAAATTGCAATGGAAATTTGGCTGGATTGAGGATGTTCGTTAAATGAAAGCATACGCTAAATGAAAAAATTGTAGTCTATATCGTTTAAATAGGAATATCTCATATGATCAACAGAAAATAGACTAAATTAATTAGGACTTGTAATTAATTGATGAATATAGAGAAATGGTTACCCATAGGTCACAAATTGTGCATAATGGTGAGGTGGCGTGTATAGCGGGATGGATTACTTACTAGCGTGACTTACAAAAAACATATTAATACTTGTAGTGAGAGTTACCTCGTAACTTAAGAAAGGATACAACCTTCTATTAGATAGATAAGTTAAAAGAAAAGACTTGCAAAAAAGAAGATTATCATAGGCATTATTGTACATTAAAAAATTACGGGCCCCCTTCAACTGGGGGTCCTAAGCGGCTGCTTTGTGGGCTTAGTGGTGTGGCCTGCTCTAATTTCAACCCATCCTGAGAGAAAACTCCTAATATACTTGGAATGTTAGTTGCATGGTCATGGATTGCTAGAAAAAGTTTTCATAAGCATAAACCCCAAAACACTGAGACACATGTGGGACAATTGGAGAAATGCTTATCGCTCTAGTCTGAGAGGAGAAATCGTATTTCTGATTACAAAATGAAAATAAAACAAAGCATGGCAATGTCATAATTAAAACTTGTAGGGCAAACAAGGAGTATAATGAATTTAGGACTTTTTTGAACAAATCATTGAAAGTATGATGTAATTATCCCAATGGAATTTTTTTTTTCAATAATGAAAAATAAATAGGACTCAATGGTTTTTTTAAGGGAAAAGTAATACTTATTTGAAATTTTCCCTTTTATTTTCCACTACCATACATATATTCTTCTCTAATCTTACTCTATTATTTCCAGCAATTGGAGCAATCTTGTCTGCAACAGATTCTGTTTGCACTTTGCAGGTATATAAAGCATTTTTTAGCTGTGGTCTTGTAGAATTGGAAACAGTTCTTTGCAACAGAATGTGTTCTATTTGATTATGCAGGTGCTTAATCAGGATGAGACGCCTCTATTATACAGTCTAGTTTTCGGTGAAGGCGTCGTAAATGATGCCACATCAGTGGTGCTTTTTAATGCAGTTCAGAGCTTTGACCTATCGCATATGAACCCAAGCATTGCATTGCAGTTAATTGGGAATTTTCTATATTTGTTTGTCACAAGCACTTTGCTGGGAGTTGCCGTGAGTCTCACTCTCTCTCTCTCTCTCCCCCCCCCTCTTCCCCTTTTTCCCTCGCAGTGCATAAGCATCTGCATGCTTTTGGGTAGATAAGGTTATTTGACGCACCATATTCTAAAATTGCAGGCCGGATTACTTAGTGCATACATTATAAAAAAGCTCTATTTTGGAAGGTTTGTAAATCTTTGCTTCATAACGCCATCACATATTTGAAGGTCGAATGAAATGGCTTATAATATAAATTATGACAATTCATGTTCAGAAACATGTATAATTGTCAAAGAGAGTCAAGAAAATGGTGTGGTTGCAGGTGATTAATTGTTGCCTTTTTATCCCTGCTTCTGCACCAGTTTTGGTCATATGAAATTACTAAAACAGAATTTGGTTTCTGGCTGGATGTGCTTTGCCAATTATATAGTATGCATATGTTGAAGAGTGATTGTCTGATAGCATGAAGCAAAAGAAATTGACTATTATTACAGCAGGGTTTATTAATCCTACCTCAATTTCTAATGAACTCCAGGCATTCTACTGATCGTGAGGTTGCTATTATGATACTCATGGCTTACCTTTCATATATGCTGGCAGAAGTATGATACTACTCTTCTTTCCAAAACCTTCAAATTGATTTTAGCTTTCTGTATGTCACAAGGGCAGCTTTGGACAATTGAATCTCAACATTTTGATGTTTCTATTGTTGATTTTATTTGTGTTGCAGCTATTCTTTTTAAGCGGCATCCTCACCGTATTCTTTTGTGGGATAGTGATGTCCCACTATACCTGGCATAATGTCACTGAAAGTTCGCGAGTCACGACCAAGTATGCTTAGCATCCAGTAACAGTTGGAACAAATCCATTTGTTGCTGTTTCTCTTTAGCCAGAATTCTTGCACCAATTAACATACAATTTATGTATTCTCTCCACCCTTTTTGCAGGCATGCTTTTGCGACATTGTCATTTATTGCTGAGATATTTATTTTTCTCTATGTTGGCATGGATGCTTTGGACATTGAAAAGTGGAGTGTTGTTAGTGACAGGTATGTTTTAGCTGCCCAACATGCATAATACACCATGCCACAAATTTGATGAATTGTGTAATATGTGGAACATGGCAAATTGTTTATATTTATATCTGTCGTAATATGTCTTTTTTTTCCAGCCCTGGAACATCAGTTGCGGTTAGCTCAATTCTGTTGGGATTGGTTTTGGTTGGAAGAGCAGCGTTTGTATTCCCCTTGTCATTTTTATCAAACTTGACTAGGAAGTCTGCACACGAGAAAATTGGCCTAAATCAGCAAGTATGATCCTAGTATTCTGGTTTTATGCTTGAATACCCTCAATTACTTGGCATTGTATATTGACTGCAGGAATTTTATTTTGCAGGTTACAATATGGTGGGCTGGTCTTATGCGAGGTGCTGTTTCTATGGCTCTTGCTTATAATCAGGTAAGTTGATTATATCCTTTTCACCTAGCAGGGTCGTATTGTGTATTGTATTATGCACGAAACATGTGTACAACTTTTTCTTTTGCATATATGAGGTGGCTGTGTTTTTTTCTTACTTTTTCAACGAAGAGTAGAGGCGTTAAACGAGACGAGCTAACTTGGGATCGGCTCAAGATAAAACTTGGTTCGAGCTCGACTCGTGTTCTAAATTAGCTGAGTTTGAACAATTTTTTAGGTTCGACTCAAGCTGAGAAAGCGGTGAAAGCACGACTCATTTAAATGTAAAATAGTCAAGTTACTCAAGTTCAGCTCGAGCTTTGCTTGAATAATTTTTTAGACTCGTTTAGAAAAATAAACTCGCCAGGCTTGGGTTCAAGTTCGCAAAGCTTGACTCGATTGACACCCCTAAGAAAGATCAGGGAAGGGAGGAGAAAAAAATGGGGGAAAAGGGGGGGAGGGTGGTTTGAGTAAGCATTTTTATGGTGCGAGGGTATGGTTATGTACTGATTTCTTAAATTTCATTCATGCAGTTTACGAAGGAAGGCCATACCCAATTACGGGGGAATTCAATCATGATCACCAGTACCATCACAGTAGTTCTCTTCAGCACAGTGGTAAGACAACTTAGTCCTCTGCTGATTGGGTAGCAATCTGTAGTTGGGTACATCTGCCCGTTGCGAAGATCTAGACCTTAAAAGATAGGCTAAGCCGAAAAAATCAAATCAAATTAAATCAAATTTTATATCTCAATTATTTAGGGTCAGCTATATGAGTCTGTCTTTGTCATTTATTTTGATCATGTGTTATACGTTCGTATATCATTATTTGGACTCATCATAAAGGATCCGACAAAATTTTACGATTGTTGTAGGCTATTTAACACAACCGTCTTCTTTATTTTGATTTAGGACAGACAACATTGAATACAACAATGGCGGAGTAAGGCATTTTAAAGATCTAGACCTTAAAAGAAGTAGAAATTTTGAATACTTTTTATTCACTTCTTGCCAATACGATTCACAAGAGCTTCGCAAATAGTTCATTTGATATTCTTTGCAACATAGTTTCATTGCCAAAATGGGTTTTCTGAGAAAAATATTCACACCTAGATTTAAGCCTCCTTGGGACCAGTTTTTCAGCTTTAAACATCACAGTGATGTGGAGAACCGGAATTTTGACATCATTTAGCCATAAAATCACGGGCGCACAGTTTCCACCGGTGTCAGCTGAACTGTGCCATGTATCTGTTATGTCGCTCAAACTGACGACCCAAACCTGGCTGCTCACTGTTAGCTCAGCATTAACGGCTGTAATCTTTTGATAGTTTGACCCTGTTAAGAGTTTGAAGTCTGGGGGAAAAAAAAAAACCCTGTTTTTATGAGCGACTTCAATAGCAAGATTGTCATCCCTAGCTGTAGTTTCTTTGCTTGATTCATAATTCCTGATTGTTACGTTTTCCATTCCATGGTTGTTTCTTTCATCGATCATGACAGGTTTATTTTCTCCCCCCTTGTGTCCATGCAGGTGTTTGGGTTGATGACTAAACCTCTGGTGAGGCTCTTGCTGCCCTCATCAAAACAATTAGTCAGAATGATTTCATCGGAACCAGTTACTCCCAAGTCCTTCATTGTGCCACTTCTCGGCCATGGACAGGATTCAGAAGCTGACCTATGTAGCCCCAATATGCCTCGTCCAAGCAGCTTACGGATGCTCCTAACAACTCCATCTCGATCCGTCCACTATTATTGGAGAAAATTCGATGATGCCTTCATGCGTCCAGTTTTTGGTGGACGGGGTTTCGTTCCCTTTGTTCCTGGCTCTCCGACTGAACGAAGCCTTCATCAGGAGCAAGGAGAATAACATAACAGACGCTGCCTATTGTTGCTGGGGCTTTGAAATCAGCTCCGGGGTTGAGGTTTGTTAATGTTATTTACTGTTTTTTGGTGTGATTTGATAGGAGGTTTTGGTTTATATGATAGGTTGGGGATAAACTTGCTCACTTTTTTTTTGGGGGTGGGAGGGGTCATGATCGAGTCATTTAGTTCAATTCTCTGGTTGGTCAACTCACATTTTTTTTGGGTATTGGTTTCGCCGTGTAAATATCATGAGTTTGACGTTTTATTGATTGCAGGCTTCTCACTCTAATAATGTTCTGTTTGTAATTTTTTTGGTTCTCTCTCTCTCTCTCTCATGAGAGCCTTTGGTGTAATTGTAAAACTATTTCATTGTGATTTCAGTAAGACAGATTCAACCAAATCAGTTTGATACCACGTGACAATATTGATCACCCTTGTAATGAATATTTTCCACCTTTCTAGACTCTAAATTAGCAAAAACTAAGTGCACTGGATTGTCCTCTCTCTCTCTCTCATTTTTTTTTTAACAAACAAAAATGGAATCTCATTTTTTAGCAGTAGTCGCCTGACCCTCCTTATACCCATGCAATCCCATCACATGGATCAAATAATTATTTTACACAAGAAAAAAAAGGAAAAAATTGCAATCTTCCAGGAAGAGAGGATTTTCTAACTTTTAATGAAAGGGTCAGTTGTTTTTTTGTTTTCCGTTCATTTTTCAAAAGATCTCATTATATCAGCAATGGTAGTACAGTTTTTTTTTTTTTTTGAGATAAACAGACAATCATACCTGACCACTGAAGAAAACACACTACTTATTTTTATAGACTCCAGACGGTTGCAACCTTAGCCAAGCCAGGAGCAGAATCCTCTCTGCTAAACACGTAAGAGGTATCCAATTGCCAGGCTAGTAAGAGCCACCATGCAAACAAACAGCGCCGGGAAACCCACCTGAACTCTTCGTACGCCATTCTTTCTCCTCAACACCGCCTGCAAAGATCGAAAGTCAGATTTTACATGAATGATACAGCAGGGAAGTCAAGAGTTTGAATCCCCCCACATTAATACGCTAGTCTCACCCATGTTCAATAAAAACCAAAGAAAATATGACGATATCCCCTCAAAAAGGAACGAAACCAGCCCATACCATGATCCCCAATTATGTGGGGGCCATTCCATTGCGAGGGAGAGCAGTTACCATTCAGACAGTCTAAACACTTGGGTCTCCGAAGACCCTGAGTGGCTCAACTCAAGATAAAAAAATGTCCTGCTATATTGCTTCCAAAAACAGCAAAAAAGATGAACATGTCACAAATGCTTTTTTCATTGCCAAAAGCTAGGGATGAGGAAAAAAATTTCAGATTTTACAGCTCCGTAATTTTGTAGATGTGTATATAATTCTAGGGAAAAATGGAGAATAGTATTCAGATTGACTAACCAGTTCCTGCTTGAGTCTTTCCTTCTCTTGGATGGTTGTGCTCCTCTCTTCTTTTAGCTTTATAATGGTGGATTCGGCCTACAAGTATTATCGTCAATTCCTGATCAGTATTCTCCCAAAAACTTGAGATAGATGTATAACTTGGGCATAAACAACAATTATTCAAAACTTCCTCCAATTTAAAAACTGATTCTTGTAAAACGTTGCTAGCGTTTAATCAAAATAATAGGTGTGTAGCATACAATAAAGTTTGTTCAACATATGAAAGATTTCAGATATATAAGATATAAAAAGAAAAGATAAGTAATAGCACTTGGATTGTCAAGAAAAGAAAAAGTACTAGTGCTATAATGAATCAAGAGACCCCCAAGGCCACAGCGTGTCCACCACAATGTTTTTTCATTTTCAGTCTCGAATATGGCATCCCCGGGGGCAGCAGATATTAAACAAGAAGCAATAGCCCATTACAAAATTTAAACTGGTTAATAACGTATAGGAAAAGATTTGCCGCATTCTTTCCCCAAACTTGGAGGCATAGCTCCAAAAGGTGTAGCCGTGCAGGCAATTTCCCTATCAGTGCTTTCCAGAGGAGAATTTTTGCCTCCAAATTCCTTCCTCAAACAACAGGTCAGGAAACAAGAGATGACACATATCTAGCATGGAAAATACTTACCTCAATTAGCTCTGAATCCAGTGTATTCATCTTTGATTTCAGCTCCTCAATATCTTTAAGTGATTTCAATTTTGTTCCCTCCAAATCCTTTACAAGTCTTGGTTCCACATACTTGGTGGGGCTATTAATAACATCGTTAGAAGGGCTCAACTCCATATCCTCCACAACTTTAGGCGGATCCTCAACATCCTTACTTAGCTGCTAAATGAGAAGAATAATATCCATGAGATGTCCTTATTAGATTCAGCAAATGTCAACCAGGAAAGCCAATACCCATGCTTGAATCTCTTAACTATATCAGTAATGTAAAAGAGACTGCAACTTTCATTCCAATGCTACTACCTAGTCATATCATTTTACTAAAAAAAATACAGACATTATCAACCAGGTAAACCATACTGGAAAGGTACAGTGACACAAATCCATCATATTACAGAGTCATAAGTACATCCCACGCAAATGTCCGACAAATTTTGACAAAGTCAAAAGAGGACAACTCAAGTCACTCATTTCTTGGGAGGTACCAAAAAAAGGGGCAAATGGGGTAAGAAGGTGGGAGGTGGTAGTTACCATAATAGAAAAACCAGTATACAGATTCTCTTCACAAAGTCTACCAAAAAAAATTGCATCAACATAAAGATCTCAAACCTTATGAGTTGGGGGAAGATTTTCTATTCCGCTTAGCATTTTCTCTTTTTGAATTGAAGTGTCATAAGAACCTTCTTGCTTTGAAACTCCGTTAACTGGTAGCAATACAGGAGAATGTGGTGGGCTTATGAGAACAACCTTGAGCTTATTCTCTTCGATGTACATGCCACTATCTTTCGCAAACTGCCAAAATATTAAATCAGAAACTGTGAAGAACAAGAAATTGACTGCAGCTACAAACTCTTACCATGCCAGGAGTAATGTCCTCTTCAGTTGTCCCAAAGGAGACAACTGTGCTCTGAATCAGAAATTTATCCTTGCATTGCATCTCAGATGGAGCTGACCGTTGAGCTTGCATAGTAACTGTATTGCACAAAATCTGAATCAGATGCGTGTTCATGACCTCAGTTGTTAACACCATTACCAGATGCTGGCTTTCGGGCCAATAAATGGAGCTACATGTAAGCAAGAAGGGTGGCATGCAATGAATTTGATGACAAGCTATATAAAGATGTGGGGAACTTAGATAATTGACTGATGATATGGAAAATTCTGACAAAAGTACCACTCAGGTTTTTATCTTATTTGTGTAGTAACGAGAAACATCGGTACTATGTAAAGCAAGCCACTAGAGATTGATATGCTTGCCACCTTAGGAGGATGGTGGCTCGACCACATGAACTATGGATTCAGAAGATGGCATTCTGAACAATGAAAAAGAAAAGAACCAGCAAGGATTGTCGTTCTACATTTTGAAAAGATTAGGATATCTCTTAACAAAAAACATTCCTATCACACATTGTAAAATTTTTTGAAAAAAGAAATAAAATAAAATATCTCTCAAGTTTTCTGTTTTACATAGTTCAATTGGCATGAGGATAAGAGCAGGTAAATGTGACCTTTAAAAGTATGTACAACTAAATGATCAGCCCGTTGTCTGTAATAAGAGTAAATTTCACTGACATCCTCTTAGGGTTACAGAATTTACATAATTCCCTTGAAGTTTGGGGTCCAGCGATAGTCAACGCTAAACTATCAATTAACCAAACAGACTTTGCCGAAGCTATTAATAACGTTTCTTAAATTCCTCATCTGCTCAAATTTAAAAAACAAAATAAAAATAAACCAAAAACAAAAGTAGTAACTAAAATTAAACCTCCCACCCCAACCCAGCCGGCAGCCCCTGCCTCCTCCCCCACCGCTCTCCTCCATCCAAAACCCATTGTCCCTTCCTCCTCCCCACCCAACACTCCCGCAACCCTGGTAGATCCCACTTCCCCAAAACCACCATTGCAACCTAAAACCCACATCCCCACCTCGTTTTTGTTTAACGAAATGTGTCATAGTTATGTCGGCCAAAGAGGTTAGATAGAGAATGCAACAAACAAAATTACACATACCAAAGCAATAGGCCAAGTAGACAAATGAATGTGACAGTGGCACTATGTTGTTCATAGCCTTAAGGTAATTGTAACAAAAAGTGCCACAAAACAAAGAAAGTGTGGGAAATACCTGTGAAATCACATGTTGACTTTGGCTTTATGATGCCTATGTTGGGCCGCACACAGTATTTCTTTGGTGATGTAGTCTTTACCTGCCATAATAATTGATTTCATAGAAAATTCATCAGTTTTCCTTGCAAACCAAAGAGCCTTCAGTTTGACATTTACCATATAAAATCTTACATCTTGTAAATATGTCAATGATTGAAAGGCAGGAAAGATAATAATACAAAACAAACAGTGCTTTTTAGAAAAAGAAGAAATACTATGGTATGATGGTCACAAGGTCTGGGGCCAAAAATTTATTACATAAGCAAGAAGTTAATGTACCTTGAAAGCAACATATTGATCAGAGATGTTGGCAAGATGAACTGCACATGAACTTTGCTTCTTCACCTCAACTAGAGCGAGGGGAAGGGGGCAAGGGGATGAGAGAGAATGTCAGACTGACAATTTTCGCTTTATGAGATAACTTAAATGGAAAACAAACCAGTCTTCGCAAGCAGAATAGAAAAATTATTCAGATGAACAATAGCTGTTAAGAAATGATAGGAGAAATATGTTCATTGCCTAGGGTGGCGATCAAGGGCTCGGGCTAACAACTGCAAGGTTGTGAGTTCAAAGATGACAGCAACCACTTCATAGTTCGTACACATAATGCAAAAGATTAGGTCTATACACAGTCCAACTCCCCCAACCCTTGTTAATTCCCATTCACTTGGTATTGATATTTTTTCCCAAAAATGAGTATAAGAAAGATATAAAAGCATTGGACACGATAAGACCGGGATCAAATACCACAAATAAGAGGCAAAAAGGAAGCAAAATCATTATGGAATTAGACACATGTAGACTTCCATACAAACATTCAGGAGGAAATTTCATTATCCACATAATGATATCATTGTAACTAAACACTCTGCAAGAACTACACTATTAGGACTCACATGGTAACAACAGTACGATCAGAACTGCTAATCTCCACATATACTAGAAAGTATGCACACAGTAATGCCCCTGCTGCTTTATCATGAGAACAGGGATGGGCAGAGGGGCATATAACATCTGAGCTATAACAGTTAGGGAACAAGTATTTTAATAAAAAACCAAAAAAATTCATGAAGTAATGCATGTTTCGAAACACCACCAGAAGATGTAATTGATCAGAGGCAATCAGAATTAACACACTTCTTTACTGTTGAATCCATGATTAAATAATTATAAGGCTAGATGCTCAAAACTGGCATAAGTTAGGAAAATGAAGCGATTTTATGCATTTAAATATCCAAACGTGCCCTATGAAATTTACAGATACTAGAAATCAGGTGACATGTAAATTCAAGTACTTACAAGTGAATTTAAGTTCTCGGGGTTCAATCTCCACTAGCTTTGCACTCATGATGCCTCCTTTACACCTGAAATCGGGACAAATTAGCTCCAACTCATAACTGGCACTTTTTAATAAGAAACAAGAACTTTCAGCTATAAAAATTATAATAATTGCTAAAATTCTTAAACTACGTAGAGCAACATCAAAGACAATATAAAACTACAAGCACATAATACTCTTAACAGATCCAAAGAAAAAGACTACCAAATATACAGAATAGAAGTGTGAATGCAGACATGTAAATCAATATATTCATCAAAAAATTGCTGGTTTGAAACCCTAACTTAAATGTCCTTTGCACTCAAAATCAACAAGCACGAGCACCATCAAAGAATCGCAGAAGAACAGTAACAAGTCAAAAAAAATAAGATAACTAATCAAATTATAGCATAAACCTTGCAGAAATGTACATGATACAAGAAAGAATCTAACCGAGAAAGGAAAATTGAAAATGCAATCAGATAACGAGAAAACCGACGGAGAAATCAGATCGGAATTAAGTTAAAAAGGATAGGTAGATTTCGCTTGAATTCGAATCCAGCATTGGTGAGACTCTATAGACAGTTGAAATGGAGAGAGAGAGAGAGAGAGAGAGAGAGAGAGAGTTGGTGATCTGAAACACTGTGAAGAAGCAGTAGAAGTTAAGCGAAGGTGTAGGAGGAGTGTATGAGTTTGGTGTGAGTGTGGGAGAGTTGTACGTAGTGGGGGTCTACAGGGCGGTTGCACCTGCTGCTTTTGCCTTTTGCGTTACGGTTTCATTCTCGAACGGGCTCCGTTTTGTTCTCGGCTCGGCTTATTTTTTCTTTTGGGAGAATTACGCTTAGACCCTTAAAATTTGTCACTTAATCACTTAAACCCTTAATATTTAAAATATTATACATAGACCTTCTAAAATTTATACGTGACATAAATTTAGACCCCAGTCGTATAATATATTTATTAATAAATTATACTCAAACCCCCTAAAATTTTTATACATATAATATTTATACATTTCAAGTTTAAAATATTATATTTAGATCAAATACTCTAATCAAATATAGAATGTTAAATATTTTAAATTTTATAACCAAAATTCATATTTTATTATGTCATTTATTGAAATAAAATCAAAAATCAAATTTTATTTTTTAAAAAAAATCATAATTAGTATACAATTATATTATTTATTAGAATAAAACTAAAAAATTAAACAAAGGGTCACATTGCATTGATCACAATATATTCTATCTTTATTTGGGGTACTTTGATCATTTAATAGATTCTGTTAATTCTATAAGTAATAAAGAATCTAAATGTAATATTTTAAACTTGAGAAATTTAAGTATTATGCAATTACAAATTTAAGGGGAATCTGAGTATAATTTACTAACGAATATTAACAACAGGGTCTAAGTGTTATGCACTACAGACGTCTGAGTATAATACTTTTTATGTCAATAGATCTAAATAATTAATTAACATATCTCAGTAGATCACGATGTAATTCTTCTTTTTTTTGTCATTTTATCAAAATTAAAATTATATACCATCACACTATATCATGTGAAAATTTATTTTGTTAGAATCTATACAACTAAAAATTTGACTTTTATAAAACCTTGCTGAATAAAAATTTTGCCTCGCCCTCGCCCTCGCCGGCCCTCCGACCATAAGGTCTACGACCACAAAGATCACTCATCCCGCCTTGATTCGTTGATGTACTCATCTTATATTATTTTCTCGTCTTACACCTGCAATCCATTTCTCCCTACTCGGGTTAGGTCGTCTTTTTTCTGACCTTGTCTGTGCCTACATAGATTATCCCCTAGCCCATGTTCATCTATCAATAACTCACACAAAAACAAACTCATACAGACAAAACAATTTTTGAAAAAGGACAATCTAAGAACCTATGATCCAACGCTATAGTTGTAGATATAAAATATCACATATGCATGCGCGCATACACACACATAAGGTAGCGTGATAGAATTTGTGATGATAGTGATGGGTGAATGGTGAATATGGTGTTTTATTGATGGTGAAGATAAGAAATTGAATGAAATATTATGTGTTTTGTCCCTAATTTATACTTGTGAGTGCGTGAGAGAAAAACAAAAGGTTCTAAAGCTAAAATTGGAAAGTAAAATCAAGCCGAGTGAGTGTACATAATAGATTCCACATGAATTCGTAATGATCTTTAAAAAAAATAAATACATTTTGAAGACCATTTGAAATTTGATTATGTAGTGTCCAAATCATATCCAAATTAATTTGTTAAATTTTATTAATATTACCAACTTCTGTGGTATTAACTTGCCTAGCAACCTTTTCACCTTGCTCCGTTTGATAGAGAGGACAGAAAGCAGGAGAGATACACTTTCTATCATTTAAGGATGAAAAGTAGGAAGGATACATTTTTCTTCTTTTGTGTTTGATTGGATAAATGGAAAATAAAAATGACTTTTTTTTTTGTGCTGGTTAAGATTATGGGTGACAATCGAATCGTGTCGTATTAGATTCGTGTTGGATCATTACGGGTTTGTGTCGAATATTAGTCAAACCTAACTTAACTCATTTAATTAATTGTGTCGTGTTGAGTTACGAGTTGACCTGTTTATTTTCGTATCGAGTTCGAGTCGTATCATCGTGTTGAGTCACAAATTTTCACTCTTAGTTAAGACGAAAAAAATATTTTTTTTACTTTAAAATTTTTATTTTTATTTTTATTTTTAAATTTATTAAATATATATATACACATATTTTACCATTATATTTTTATATAAAATTAATATATACATAATATATGTATATATAAAAAATATATATATAGACAAATAAGATAAATCTCAACATAAATAATTAATTTTTCATCCACTTTCCTTCAAATTTTGGATGGATTGATTTTGAGGAGTTAGAAATAAAGTTAATTCATCCATTTTTTATCCTTCATACTTTTCTTCCTTAGTAAATATAATATTTTATTTATCCCTCCAACTTTTTATCCTTTCAACTTTTTATCGTCCTATTTTTTTTTATGATATTAAACTGAGGATAGGGTAGATTCATTGAGAGGACTCTCCACTTAATTAGCTAAACAACTTGCACCAAAACCATTAGCTTTTAAGCCTTCTTTGTTAGCTCGGGCGCTATGGTAGGCGGCTCCATTCCAAACTCACAATCTCTTTCCTATCAAACTTTTCATGCCAATAAAGGGTTTCATTATGTAGTACATTCCCCCCACCCCCAAAAAACAACCACTTTATATATATATATATATATATATATATATATATGCACGGGATTTTTAGGTGTGACTAAGAGAATATGAAGAAAAAAAAATATAGTTTAGGTGACCAGCTTTTACTTTGGTTTCATATGTACACTACCCATACTACATTGTTAAGGGAGATTCACAATTTCGTCTCACCCTCTCCAAAATTTATTGTGGAGTGAGGATCGTGCGCCGGACTATTATTTTTAAAAATAGTTGGCATTTCATGCTTCACCGGAGAAATGGTACATAACATATTTAAGTAGTGTTATTTCGGTCTCATATCATCTCAAGTTATGTTGTTTTTCAACCGTGCCAAGTTCTTATCGAGTTTGGGTTCACACAAACAGTCAGTGAACCAAAACTCCCACTGCTATTTATCTTTTCAAATCTAGTGAAACTCAATTAAAAAATGTCACTTCATTTTACGACACTTCATTCGTACTAAATTCATAAAATAGCAAAAAAAATAAAAAAGAGTTAAAACATTAGATTTTTTTTCAAATAATACAAAGTTTACAAGTTTATCGAGTTAAAATTGAGTTGTCTAAAATTGATATTAATTTCACTTATTTATTATTTATTTTAACGATTGTGCCAGTTTTGGATTCATTTTAAATTTGGTTTATTTCATGTAAAAAAAAAAAGTTATTCGTGCAACTATAATGACCCAATAAATTTTTTTTTTTAATAGTCAGGAGTGTTCAAATTAACTCACGCATACTTTAACTAATCTTTTTGTTAAAGATAAATTATTTATGTCGAAATTTAAATATTCATAAAAAATTTTATCTCTCATAATTTAATTTTAAAAAATTATTAAAATTCCGACTTGGAGAATTTATATCACGGTGCCTCTTGACAAATAAATGCCGACATAATTGGGAGGCAAGTACAAGATTTTTGACTTTTACAGAATTGTAGGCTTGTAGCTACTCCATAAGCTTTTGCTCACCATGTGCCTCTCACTGTTGTGACCTTTGTGGCCCCATGCGGTGCTTTAGAGGATAATAAATACCCAATCAAGGGGAAAAAAGGAACAAAAGTTTGTTTTTTATATCAATGGGAAAGTTTACTTTAGAATACTTTTCCACAAGTTCACATTATTAAAAGTTATTATTAATAATGATAAGTTATCTCTCAATTTGATGATTTTATAAAATAATAAAATTATTAAAATTAATTTTAACACTTTATATTCGATTAGATTTTTTTAGCTCAAACTTATGGTTTGTTGATATAATAAAAAGGTGAAGGAATATAAAGTAGAATGATAAATAATAATAATAATAAATACACAAAACAAGGAAAAAATTTGGAGAAATAAGTTTTCTTTTCGATCCACAAAAATGTATTTTGTCAAAATAAGCAGAAAATTGAAGGAAATATATATGTGTTTTAAATATAGGTCATTTATTTTTAAATCTATGGATATAGTTGTTTTATTTTAGTTAAACATGATGGAGAATTTTTTAAAATTACACATCCTTATTTTTTCTTCCTTTTAATTTTTTATCCACACAACATTAAAAAAAAACATCACTTTTTTTAACATAAAATAAATATGCAGGATAAATCATTCCACATATCTTCTAAAGAGCAACGCCCTTCAGCATCATAAAACTATTTGTAGGAAATTCCATCACACCTACGTTAGGGTCGAAATTAAGGTCCCCTTCCTTACTTTGAGAGTTGCAGAGTATGTTTAACTTTACCGAACTGTTGTAACTATTAAGACTCAAATTCAAGTATTGAGCGAGAAAATTTGATTTCTTACCCACTAGACCAACCACTTGATGGTCATCCCCTTTTCTTTTTCATCTCTCGTACTAAGCACAAAAGAGTGAAAGAATGTTTGTTTATCTCGATAAAAAAAATCTACTACTACTAATAAAAGGATACAATTTACCTTCATTAATCAAATTCCTGATTTATACACTCTTGGAATTGAATTTTTTTATCAAGAATAATTCCGATATCACTTGTTGAGAGATAAAAACTAAAGATAGGATGGGGAAGATAAAAAAAAACACAAACATATACCTGATTTAATACATTGTATGTATATCCACGGATCAATACTTTTAACATAAGAAATGGATGTGAAGAAATAAAGTATACTACCCATACTTGTCCAAAATAATTTGGATATTGCTGAATCTCTACGAATCTTATCACATGTTTAATAAACTTATTCATAGTACACGAGATCTGATGCAAATCATAACACAACTTCAAGGGATTTAGTTCAAGTTCCTAGTGGGCCGGTTACGAGAGCACGAGCAAGGAAGTTTAAAGAGGTACTCAATGGACTAATTTAAAAGGCATGGAATCAAGCAAGTTTGTGGAGGCCCATTGACCATGATCCACTTGAAAAACAAAAATTCATCAGCATGATTCAAGTTCTAGAAGAATCCAACTAGGGACTAAGGTTAAGATTCAATTGGTTTTTTGTTGTTAAGCCTTTCAATTTGATTAAATAATTTTTATTATTAGTTTAGAATAAATGGGTTTGAGGATGCTTAGCCCACATATATCTTATTATTTTATTTGAACTAGGGTTTAGAATAAGTACTACAGCATGGTACTGTTCATGCTACAGTAACCGTGACACTATTCACTCAAGGGCATTTTTTAGAGAAAGGGTCATAAATTTAATCTTTATTTATTCTTATTTAGATTAGGATTTGTTTCCTTAATAGATTAGGATTTGAGATAAAGGTTCTTGTTTGTTGTAAACAACGGGTCAAGGTCTACCATAAAATATGTTCGTTAAACGATCTTGGGTTCTTTTCGTTGTTAGTTCTCGTTATTCCGGTGGGTAACACATCAAGATCGCTTTCAATTTACCTACTCAATGTGGGGTTTCTCTGGTCAAAAAAAAATGTGGGGTTTCCAAATGTGATTTCCCAGTTATTATGATCCACTGCTCTTTCTGACCAACACGTGCAAATCGCTTGTATGAGTGGTTACAATCTTTTTTGTCTTTCGAGAGTTTACGCCTTAACTTGCATCTCATTTTGCACATCAAACCTTGTCTTACTCTATTACCGGAAGAATTCAATTGTCAATTATTTTAACACGCAACACAATAATAACATGTAAACCAACCAAATACCAATACACACTTCTTTGAGTTTTTGAAGAAATCTATAATTGTTACATATATATTTATTTATTTATAATAGACAATCGAATTAACGTTGCACTCTTCAAACTCGTTCATAAAATGCAAAGTCTAGATGCCTATAAAAAAAAATACACTACTCATATCAAGTAAATCAAAATTCTTTGTGATAATCAAACTTAAGATATTGATGCAATAACATTTGCTATTTTCTAATTCGAGCTACCCAATGACATAATTGGATCTCTCGCAATAAAAATTGTATCTATCATAAGGTTTACCAAATAGATGAAGTCTTTAAGTGTATCACACCTTTTCCATAACTCTCAATTTTAGGCACATCCAATTCTTTGAATTTTTTTTGATAGCGTAAAATAATGATACAAGAACAAAGAAATTGTAGGGCGATCTGAAAGTAAATGTGTTCGTGTGTGTGTGTGTGTGATAGTTTAACAGGTGCAAAGTTGAATAGTTCCTTTCAGTCACAAAAAATGATAATTGATAAGAATAAAACAACTCACGGAATTTAGTAATTCACTAAACTGAAAAGTTTGGTTAGTCCACTCTAATGAAGTGTCTGTATTTCAGATTATGTGATTCCCTCAATCAATTAAAATTATAAGAGGAATACTTTTTTGTTAGGAAATCTATGACACTATCTCATGTATCCTTCTAGAAACAATGAAGTGTCACCTTGGAGGCGATATCTTTGTGCTCAAGGTTGGACCGACTTAAAGGCCTCAATTTTTGCTCAAAGATGTGCGTCTCCGAGCTTCAGTGATCATCGGTCAAGTTGATCAAATAATTATTTGGTGGTCTAAGAGATGCTCCCCTTCAAAAGAGCTGTGAAGGTGAAAAGTTCGGGCTGAGCTTGACAATTTTGAGTTGTATTAAGTAATGTCAAGTTGCACTAAATTATGCTAAGTTTCAATTACGTAAACAAATGACTTATGCCATTGAATGGTCATGGCGACTTAGGCCATCGTGGCCGGGCTAGACAAGGTCGAGTTGTGCCAAGTATAGGTTAATTTAATTCTTGGTATCAACACTTTTAAATATAAATAATTTTACAATTAAATTCTTCAACATAAAATATTCATTTTGATTAAAAGTGATGCTCTCTATTTATTGTAAATAATTATTGAAAAAGGTCTTAAAATTCGTATTTCTACAAACACGACAAGAAAAACCAGAAAAAAAAAACATTTAGTCTAAAAATAAACCAATCAATCTTTTTTTAAATCCTTTTGTCCAAATTTCTTCGCTGGTCCCTTTTTTCATATTCAAAATCTTTCGTTTAATTTTGTTTAAAAGTCAATTTAATATTTTTCCAGAGCAACTTTTTTTATTACAGATTATTCTGAAAATAAAACTGTTGATTTCCCAAACTGCCCCTGTAATCAAACCCCTAACAGTACCTCCGTGTTCCGGAAACCAAACACTCCGATTTCGAAACAAACCAAGCCAAACAACCAAACACCAAAACACGTCTATAAATCAAACGGGCTCAAACCCCTCTCTCTCAGACTGTCTGTCTCTCTGGACATCACACTCTTCGTGCTCTCCGCCCCCCTCTGGCTTAAATTTCTGAGCTCCCAGATCTGTTTCATTTGATCTTCCAATGGCTGCTGTTACAGGACCGTCAACTTCCATCGTCTCTTCCTCATGCTCTCTCAAGCAAAACCAGGTAATATATACACTTAAATCTTTATATGATTCTCAGTCTGTATCTTCCGTTTGATTGAACCCTCTCTCTCTCTCTCTGTATCTATCTATCTATCTCTATCTCTCTTATGGTTCATTTTATATGTTTTCAAATGGCTTTTGGTTTTTGATTCTTTAATTAATAGCTTGATCCTATGTTGATAGCTAATTTGATGCAATAGTTTGATCTGATGATGATTTATACCAGTGATCTTCGGAAATACCCTATCTATTTGTCGTGATCTTTGGTTTATTAAGCTCGTCAATAGAAATTAATCGAGACTGGGTAACAATTTCCCTTTTTTTCCCCAATTTAGAAGCTTCTATTATTGCTTTCCTAATCTCGTCAGTGAAAGATTTGACGATTCCTAAACCCATTGTGTATCTGCTGGAAAAGTGTTTTAATGACATCTTGAGAGCGAGAGAGAGAGAGAGAGAGAGAATGAGAATCAGGGTCAGGGTTTTGAGTCTTATGGTGTGAAAGATAAAATGGGAAAAAGGGAAAACAAAGAAAGAAGTAGTAGGAAAAAGAAAGAATTTTTGGCCAATTTTGTTTTTGGATTTTTAAAACATAATATTAGTGAAGAGAGTAAATTTCACTTGTTTGAGGGATTTTTCTTTTGATATGAAACTTAAATAATTTTAGTTTAAGGGATTTTTATTCTGCTTTGTTTTTCTTGATTGTACTCTGATGTCCTGTTTTACTCTTGGTTTTTTTGTTGTTGAATTGAGCAGGCACTTAACCGGGTCTCAAATTTGAACTCGGTTTCGCTTTCTGGTAATGGGAAACGCTTTCCATCCCTGAAGTCAAGGCCCAAGCCACTTCACTTTCGGGTTTTTGCCTGCACGGTATGTTTTTTTTTATTTTTTATCTTATTTTCTGCTTCTTTGGTTGACTCAATACTTAGACAGACATGGTTATTTTCATTCTTGATTTCCGACTGATGTAGAACATTTACTCGCTAACCTATTCTCTGTCAAGACATCAAGATGTTTTAATCTCAGTTGATGACACATTACTTTGTGATTGGCTTGTAACAATAAATTTTCGTTAGGTCTGATTATCATCCTGACTTGATGCTTATTATTTGAATTTGTTCTTTTTCTTTATCCCAGAGATTGCATCAATATATGGTGCATTGCATAAGCAAGTATGAAATTGTGCGTATATTCTCATGGATTGATTGTGAAGATGTGTAGTTACTTAGGAATGTCACTTTGTTGGTTTGTTTAATCTAACTCTTGTGGATTTCCGTATTGGACATATAGTATGTGGTTCAATATATATATTTGGAGTTGCTTGGTTTGAAAATTAGAATCAATATCTTGTCAAGTGCTGGATTCAAAGGAGATCGTACTAAAAAGTTGGAGATGAAAAGTAAATTTTGTAAACTTGTAAGATAGGGTCAATATAACTAAGCCTTATCATAATGTCTTTTTGCCAGGCCAAGCCAGAGACCGTGGACAAAGTGTGTCAAATTGTGAAGAAACAGCTTGCACTCCCTCATGACTCTGCCATCTCTGGGGAGTCAAAATTTGCAGCACTTGGGGCTGATTCTCTTGACACGGTACCGTACTTTCGACACATGAACTATCAATATGGTCATTTGGTTATCAGCATGGAGTGTTATATTATCTCTTTCTACGATGTTTGGTTGTCTTGTTCTCCGTTGAAATTAAGCAAGACATGTTGCAGGTTTTCTCTTTCATTGCATATTAGTCTCATTTAGTTGCTTTCCTTTATCACAAGTTCTACGGAATCATTAGTAACTTAACAGTCTGTTTTCTACTGTTATCTCTGTATTCATCGAAGCGTTCAATATTTCTCGTTTACCATTACAGGTCGAGATTGTGATGGGACTTGAGGAGGAATTTGGGATCTGTGTGGAAGAAGAAAGTGCCCAGACTATTGCCACTGTTCAAGATGCAGCAAATCTTATTGAGAAGCTCATGGAGAAGAAGTGAGCATAAACGTGGTCGAAGTGAAAAAAGAAAAGGACAATGAACTTGAATTTCCTAGGAAAGTTGTTTTAGTTTCATATTTACCAAAATCCTCTGGTCCTTCACTTGTACGCTGTTCATGGTGCGTCCATAGTAGTAGTCTCGAAATTGGCTGTGATTTATTTTTTTTCATCCACTAGACCTTATATGCATCTTTTTGTTTTGGTTTCTTTTGTCAGACTTCTACTGGAATTTATCGTGTTAAACTTATGTAGTTGTTCTCCTTAGAGATGCTCAAACTTCTTTGTTTCAACAATCAGGGGTGGTGGTTGAATCAACTTACGTGTACTTCGACTAATTTTCTCACTGGTCTGGTCAAAAATAAATTAAATTATTTATGTTAAGATTAAAATATTCATAAAAAATAAATCTTTCTTGACCTAGTCTAAAAAGTTATCAAAATTTGAATTAAATTCTTTTCTATTATCATTTGTGGTTGTTGCTCCAAGTTCTCGATTGGTCAAAAACACGTACTAGGAGAACAAATGGCAGTGCATCGGCCGCAACTGGTATCCTCCCCAGGCCCAACGATTCGGGCCTGATCACAACCTTTACCCTGTCAGGCACAACTCGGGTTCGAGTCTGGTCACAGAGCTCACTTGTGCTCAATTGGGCCCAGCAGGCCTAAGGGTAGTTTTCTCTTAATATATATATATTTTTTTGGTTGGAACGCCCTAGTTTTACTGGATCCGTGTTTCATGTTCGTTCTACTGGTGTTACCAGCTTGGCCAGCATGTAAAAAACAATGTCTTGTTGCAGAGAACGTTAAAGTTCGAATGTACTCGCGTTTATGCTGTTGGGGCAGGTGCGTGTTCTGATGAGACGAGCTAGAGTGACAATGGGGTTATATAAAATCAGAGACATTAGTTCTAATTTAACTTGGTATGACTTAAAGGAACGATTCATGCACTTGGAGTTTGTCCTCTATTTTATTCGGACTCACAATACATAAGCACGTCTCTATTCATCAAGAACAAACCAGAGTATGGCCCTTCTTAGCTACTCCCTTCTGTAACTAAGAAACTTTCTCTCATTGACAATCTTGATACTATGCATGTGTCATATGTGTATAACATGTTCATATGCTCACAGAAGAAAGTAGTGTTGTGCAATAAATCAAAGTAAATGAATTATTCGTGGTTTGCTTAATTGGTCATAACAGTCGGATTTCTTTTTTTTTTTTATTAGTTTTAATATTAAAAAACACGAGACTTTCAAGCAACTCTTTCAATTGCTGCATAATCTCTTGATAAGTTGCTTAATAGGATTGAGTTATTTAGAATTTGACTTGAAATTATTGGTTTTTCGAATAAAGATGTTTCAAAATAAAATTAAATTCACTTATAACCAAGAATCTATTGGAATCACAACTACTACCTCACACTCAAAAGAATCACCGATTGTCGTCACATGCATTTATTTAACACGAACATTTTGTCACTGTGTAAGTAACAACCCACTACCATGTGCTACTTGATATTCAGAGTCACAGCCAGCTAAGAGTTGGAAAATAAATACTAAGATATGTGAATGTGTGTGTATGTATACACACTCCTCGAAAGAAATAACACAATAAATCAATGAAGAACAATCAAATCACCGGTCATTTGAAGTCATGACTATGATACAATGCAATATTTCTCAATCAATTGATCATAAATTTTAGCTATTTTTTTTTTTGTTTAAGGATGTTCGAACCAATTCGATTAATTTTTTTTTTTGTCGGATCAAATTCAGACCATTCACACCACAATTAAAATATTCTTGAGAGATTTATCCATTGTGACTTGCCCCTAAACAATTAACATCTGAGTTTATAACTCGTCTCTATTATCGTTTGAATTGTCTCTTGTATCACTTGAATTGCCTCTTGGAGTTTTAGGTACTCTTTCAAGTGCAGGCAAATATTGATCGTAAGTAGCACTCCTCCAAGTACACAAAGCAAGGATCACTACATTCACTGAACTGCAACCAGTGGCACTCTAAAGAATTGAAGCTATCAATCTAGTTGCAACAATGTCAATACTTTTCAAAGACACCATGATCAGAATGCATTATGGGTAAAGAATTGAGAGCTTTAACATATAGTAAGATAAGAATCTGCAACTATAATGACTTTTCTGACGAAGTACACTTACAAATTGTCAGCACACACGAGACTCCAGCCACTAAGGTCCTAACACCTCACATTGCAAAAACCAACACTGGCCAATACGTTACCAAGCCCATAAGCACTGCAAAGTTCAGACACCCAACTATTTTCAGAGACACAGCAGAAGAAACTGGCATAGACCCAGATGGGGAAACTGCAGACTCTGGTCCAAAAGTGACCGTCTCATCCGGGTTCGGAGTGCTCGGATTTGAAGGAATGGTTGTGGGTATGGAAGATCCAGTTGAAGAAGGCACAGCACCTCCAGGAGAAGGAAAGAGAGGAGCAATGTCTGGTGACAGTTCTGTATCCGGAGATATTGGAGAACTAGGCAATAGTGCAGGTGCGGCAGAAATAGTGGGTGTCTCAGATATAGATAATGAAGGTGAGGCCATGAAAGCTGTAATGAATACTACCAGAAAGCCAAAGGAGGCCATCCAAATGATAATGAAATCAAGCACCCTTTTTAGAGACTCTTAATTAAGTGTGAATAGGATTTCCCCAGAGGAGGAAGAGGGGTTTATGGGATATGTTAGATGGAGGATATGATTAAGGCAAATAAAAGGTATGACCAGAGATTCAAGGTGGGGTCTAATGCCACGTGGATGATGATTATCGGACAGTGATGAGAACATACAGGTTGGCATGGTTGGGAAGAGACAAAGATCTGTAGGATGTTATTTTGAAATTTTTGCTGGCAGGGAATACCTTTTAGCCTCTCATGTGCGTGTGTTCCCTAATTTGATCATTGGAGAACAGAGAGGTAGTCCACCATCTTCCGACGCTCAGAGTGTTGAGGTCATCTTACACGCACTTTAATTAATCCTTTGTTTGGTCTGTTTAAAGACAGATCATTCACATCGAGACTAATGTATTTATAAGAGATAAATTCCTCGTAGCCTAATCCCAAAAAATTGTCAAGATTCAAACTCATGACGTCTAAATTTACAATTTATCTCTGTTATCATTTGAATTATCCTTTATAATTTATTTATCCATGATTGCATTGCATGCAACAGTGACAACCCGGGGGCAATAATGTCTTTTGTAATTAGATGGATGGTACTAACTCATAAGTTCAAACCAAAATATTTTCCACGCAAATTACGGGGTTCATCAAAAACAAAAGTAGTGGTAAATCAACCGCCCAAAACAAATAGGTCACATGAAAGCTCAAGAGAAAAGGCACCTTGGTAAACATAGGTCAATAACTCAATGATCTTCTCTCTCTGTTCACTAATGGAGAAGTGAGGAAGAGGAAAGATGCAACAATCAACGAGCAGAATCACATAACAGGCTCTTAAGACAAAAAGGCAGTAAGAACAGTTGACATTCTGTCCCCCCGTGTTGACAAGACAAGACTACTAAGTCATCAACATTTGTAACAAACAAGGATGGTTGCATCCATAAAACCATTGCCATTGGGAAGTAGTAGGCTATTACAAAGCTGAACATTTGGAAATATTTTAAGTACTCTAGTATGGGAGAAGAATATGTGAGACTGATAACAGTATGTTAACTTCTGTTGGAATGATGGGTGGGATACACATTGAATCTACAAACATTAGAATTATGTTTTCACTTCCCAGCCACATTAAATTCCTTTAGCTCTTATGGGTACCTATGAACTTCGTGCCTAGTACACGAACGCTCCAATCTATAGACAGGCAAAGGCCTTACAACCCACACAGTGGAAAGGCCGATTCCTGTTTCGAACCTGTGGCAAATGACTTGGGTGGGTGAGTATTTGTCGTCACTGCAAGACCGGCCTCTAGCTGTTTTGGATATTTACACTGGTCGTATCCAGTACACAAAGGCTTCCATCTATAAATAGACAAAGGCAATTTTACCCCACTTTGGAAAGGTTGATCCCAGTCTTCAACCTGCGACGTATGACTTGGGTAGATGAGCATATGTAGTAACTGACTCTGGCTCTTATGGATTTTTCTATGATGACAATATATACCTTTCATTTTTTTTTTTTTTGTGAACAATGACAATATATACCTTGAAGCCGTAGGTATACAAAATAACAATGTCTAAGCGATTATGGTTACTCAGGGGACCCACCAAAGTCCAATGTTACCTGGATCTTGGATCGTTTTTTTATGTGATACAAGTATAGATACACACTATGACACTTTTTAGGCACACGATACGATGGAGATAAATTTAGCTAATACGGTATTTTAGGTCACAATTCGTTTTGGAACTCTTATCTAAATCGTTTTCACCACTATACATCATTATATATTATGGTACTATGTCAGATACAATTTATCTTATATTTGTGTGCGATTGTCTACTATCTAAAACAATATATAATTATAAATCTATATATATGTAATTAATTAATATGTATTTTATATTTGTGTTACGAGTATAATTTGAGATCGTACATTTTAGTGATCAGAATTTGGGATCGATGTACTCAGATCGTGGATCGTCAGTGGTTTAGTGAATTCTAGTAACTATAGGCCCAACTTTCAGCATCCAATCTAGAAGTAGCTTCGCCACAACATTCTTTCCATCATGGGATTGACAGATATACGGTTCAATGCACCATGCATAAGTTCATTATATATTAGGTAAGTTTGGACTAAAACTAATTTGCTCTAAAGTTTTGAGACTGGCATTGTTGTAAGCGGCCAGAATAAGAATTGGGATATTGCCAGGCTCAAAATCAAGATTCAGGTCTTGTACGCTGCTGTAATACTTAAATAAATGCAGAAAAGCTAGTAGTACGATAACAAGAAACTTAAGCAAACTTTGGTGAACAAATTTTGGAAAAAAAAATATTACTCAATTGAATACATTAGCAATGTGACCAGTGTACATACATTATAAAAAAACAGGACAGTCAAAGTTGACAACTTTTTTCCCCCAGCATGATAGAGCTGGGCTCTACAGAATTATGTATGCTGAAAAATAAACTGACCTCAATACAAGCATTGCTAACCCATCTTCTGCATAACAGAAACAGATTCATGACCATTGGGAAAAGTCAATTAACCTTCAAAAACCCTGCAACGGTTAATCAGCAATTAAAGGAGTTGAAATTTTGCTTTTTAACATAACGGAGAAATTGGGATTTTTGTCAAAAAAAAGATAAAATGAACTGGCAAATCACCTCTTAAACTTCAAATGCAACGAAGCAGCCTCTGAAGTTCCATGGCCACACGAAAAGCAGCATCAACAACAGCTGGTATGCTAGAACTTTTGAGCTCAGAAACAGTCATTTCAATTTTTGAAATATCTGGAATCGATATTGACAATATCATTGCCTGTGACAAATACAGCCGGCAGGAATATCCAAGAGCATGCAGCATCCGCTGGATGAGTAAGGGAGAGATGCCTCGGCACCATGACTCAAGGATCAAAGTGACCTTTGGAAGATTATTTAGAAAACCAGTAGTAGCCTCCCTTGGAGCTGCCTTGAGTAACAAAATTACAGATTCAGAAGCTAAATCTGCCACATTTGCCTCATGAGACTTACTTAATTCTAGCAAGACACCAACATTAGCACCAAAGTCCATTATGTCCTTAATGCAGTCCTGTTGATCAACTGCACTGCTTCCTTCAGAAGAACTATCACATAATAGAGTAGGTTCTTTTGCATAAACAAACCCATTCCTTCTGCACACTGAGCGAAAAAGGAAAGCCCTACACAGACCAAGAGTAGGTTCAATAAAATCTGTCATTTCCTTTGCATGCACAAACTCCAGAAGGTTTCCAATCCTCCTAACCACCTTCAGTTGAGAGAGTGTCTTGGTATCCAGCTCTGGGGCAGATGCAAGAGCCAGACAAAGCATGACACTGCTTACATTTGCAGATGAGAAATCACCAAGAAGAAATTCAAAGCACTGTGAGACTGTCTTCAGATGTATGATGTCTGCAATTTTTATGTAATTAAACTCAATGAGCATCACGAGAAGTTTCTGTGCATACATAGGAATGGGATCCTCATCCTCGATCAAGGAGGGGTAAAGAGGAAGAAAATACGTATTAGATATGGACTTCAAATCCTCTGTTCTCTGCTCATCTCCTGATGGTTCGTCTAGAAAAATGACCATCACATCAAACAAAATCTTCAGACACAAAAATCTGGCATCTCCATCTTTGTTTCCTTTGTACAGAACAGCCAAACTGGGAAGAATTTCACGGATAAAAATGTTGGGGCTTTCAAGAATTACAGAAGGCATCTCTGAAATGGACTCAAGAATTCGTAGAAGGGTTATTTGAAAGTCATCCCTGCCCTGAAATTCATTGAGAGGGTATGTGCATAAATGTAAACACATCAATAAGAAATATTCATCAATTTCAATTTCCTGTGGCGACGAAGTAAATTCAGCGTTAAATGAATTAGTCCCTGGAGATTGAGGACAAGCTCTTTCAAAGACTGTCCAATATATCCACACAGAAATACATATACACAAAATATACATAATCCCTTCAAATATACACCCCACTCATATTTGGAAGAGTGGTTGCAACTCCTATTCTACCATTGTAGGTGCCATGGTAGATGCCCTAGCTTCTTGTTATGTCAGCAACTAAGAAGTCACATGAGTTTGTTTTGCAGTTCAATCAGCATGCAAGGTGAAATTGATAATGCATAATCCATTTCTTTTTCTGTTTTTATTAAACCACAAATGTATCAAAAGGAAAATGAATGCACAGGGCAAACAAAAGAGGAAATCCTCAACCTTTACAAAACCAACTCAAGCCACCTCAAGAAATGCAGCATGACCAACATAATTCCCAATTGGTAGCACCAAGTCAGCCAAGAATTAGCCTTTTCATTTGCTGATATCAGTGTCCATGCAATTCAGACCCAAGTAGATCAATAAACAGCAAATCTCAAGCACCCCAAAGCATATCACCAAGATTCTAGCAGTATTATTATAATTATAGCGTGTGCATATAGGACACCAACTTCCGCATGAATTTTAGCTAAATTGCCTTGATTTCACTAGGACCCAAATATAATGTATTAAAGAGTTAGGGCACATGGCTCATCAATTTAGGCTTTGATCATTGATATTAAGGCAGAAAGAGATTGAATTGTGCATGGATTAGAAAAGTAGTGATTATTTCCTAAAACCTTCCGTGTTGCAGTAAGATTTAGAAACATAATTCGTGGTCTTAGTTGCTATATACTTGCCTGAAAAGGTGACTCTGCCAGTTTGATTAGATTTGCCAACTGCTGCAGCACCTGATTACTCGCCACTTTGTGCTTAAAGGAAGAGCTCCCAAGAAGATGGAGAATGACAGGAAACAAATGAACATTGGTCTTTGTAGTAGCTCGGTTAGTGAGGGTAGTGATATGCCCAAGACGCCTCCCTCCCATCAATTGTTGGACATCTCCTGTTATGGTCTCCAGCAAACCTGGTAAAGTAGATACTACAACATGCACAAATGCATCTAAGCACTTCTTTAAATAGCTGTCTTTCTCCTTTACCAGCCTGTCAACAGCTGAGAGCAGTCTTGCATTGCAAAAAAAATGTAGCAGCCATCTTCTCCCACTCTTGCATAGTAAAGCAACAAATATAAGTGTCTTTCCCCTTAAGATTTCACTTCCCTGCTCAATAAGAGAGACAATATGTGGGACAAAATTCCTATCTTCCACCAAGGGAAGGAGATACCGTCCAATGTTGGTAAACATATGGCTTCCAAGCATAGCCATGTTGAGAAGGTTCAAGCAGATTTGCTGCTCTCGTGGACCGCCCTTGACAAGGCTTGATGCAATCTCCTTGAATGAAAGCTTTTCTATGACCTGTTGTATGCTAGGAGGGCTAAAACGAGCAAGACGTACCAAACAAGATCCTGCTGTGCACCTCATGCTCTCCTGTTTCCCTGGAGCCCTAAATATGTAGCAAAGGTTACTAATTATGTCCTGGCTCGTGAAACGGGCTGCCCACTGTCCTCCTTGACTCGAGATGTTTTCAATTGTCCTCAATGCATAGAGTTGAGTTATATCATCCTCACCCTTTCGTAAAATAGATGAAACCAATGAAATTAATGGATTTGGCACCTGCACAAGAGAAATAACTTAATGTAAAAAGAAATTTAGCTTTAGAAGAACATGTTAAATGCAAAAGAGAAGTACTCAACAACTTTATTCAGAGATTTATTTAAAGCATAGAAAAATTCCCCACAGAGAAGACTGATGAAGCCACTCTAATATGCTTAAACTGATTTTTTATAGGAAACAAAAAAATTAATAAATAAAATAAACAAGCTTCACAAGCTCCAGCACACCAACAAGAAGGCTGTGCCAATAACAAAGGAAACTAACCTGCCAACAAGAAAAGGATCGGCTGTCCTTCGATGGAGATTCTGGTGGATTATTATCTCTGGCATGCTCGTTTTGTGTAGATATATAAAACAACAACTCACCCAAAGCAGCCATAGAAAACCTTCTCACTTTTTCTTGCCTGTCTCTTAGGCCATCACATAGTGAACTTAAAATTCCAGAGTTTGCCAAATCATCTTCAATAAAAGTAGAATGCCGAATCAACAAACCTATAATTGAAGCAAGTTGAACACGTAGAGCCGAAGCCTTAGACTGTCGGAGCATCTTAATAAGAACCAGCATTACTGGTCCATTGGTCAATACATTGGCAGCATCTGTATTGTTGCTTATCATCTCAAGGTACCGGATCACATTCTGCTTCTCACCAATAGCAGTGTTCCCATTAAAGATGGTTATGATCCTATTGTTGAGTGTGTCAAGCTGATCCTTAGACATTTTCACAAAATCAGATGCTGGAATTACATCAAAGGGGAGAGAAGGAATCACATCTGATCCTTTGTCAGACTTTCTGCTGGGCATCACAGGTCTGACTGAGAGGTCACATGGATGCCAAATCACCTCCGAGAGATTAGTAGATGATTTTGAAGTATCAGAAGCAATGGTACCCCCTGAAACTTCTTTAATCCTTTGAGTCTTGAGTTGAGGACTGACGCTGGGTGGAGTAGCAGCCACTTCAATATGGTCCGACGACGATTCCTGGTCAGTTATTCTCGAGTCATCTGACATATGTGCGTTGAGCGCAGGTGATGTATCTATGTTGTTTATATTACTGTCTGTCTCCTCTGTTCTACGCTCATGCTGCTTTGGAATTGACAGATTTTCTTCAGGGGTACATGTTGGGCCATCAGACCCATCAGGTTCATCTTGTGTCTCATCTTCAACATTCTCGTTAAAATCAAGTTCCATATCATTGTTTTCAATTTTGACTTCAGCATCATTCTCAGAATCATTAGGCAATGGCCTCCGGTAGTTCTCCTTCTCATTTTCCCTCTGTAAGTTTGATTTTGCAATTCTTGAAAGCCTTAGAAGATTCACAGCCGCAGTATTACTTGACGGATCCTTTTGCTTCTCCTCAGCCACTCTGCCTGAAGCCTTTGTTTGAGTTTTTCGGCCACTGGATACACCCTTAATTGGTGTGCCATGACTTCTTGATCCTAAAATAGAATTCTCATCCTGTCTAGAAGCCCCTCTTGTATCTCTTTCCCTATTTTTACTTGGGGTCTTGTTCTGGAGAGGTTTGTCACCATTGCGTTCAGAGAGATAGGGTTTAGAAGAAAGCTCTATCATGGTAGTGAAAGCAGGCTGAGGAGGTAAGGGCAATGGAGTAAATTTTGTTCTCCAAAAAGCATGTCCACAAAGCTCAGGCCACTGTATTCGGTCAGCTGGATCTTTTACCAAGAGAGAACTGATCAGATTGACAAAAGGACGGCTTGGGGAGCCAGGAAGGACTGGAGTTGGATCTGAAAGGACTGATTTTACTAGCTGTGTGAATTCTTTCCCCACAAAGGGAGGCCTCCCTACATAGCACTCATATAGCACACAACCAAGGGCCCAGAAATCAGAAATGTAAGAATGCACTCCTCCATCCTGAAACAACTCAGGAGCCATGTAACAGGGAGTTCCACGTTTGGCTTGTGGCAACTGGACAATTACATGAAGAGAGGGAAATAAAAGATTTGGTAGAAGGAAAATGAGAATTGCAAATTGTGATTGTCATTAAACTGGTATAATGTAAGGAAACCCCATTTTTTGAAAAACTCACTAGGGAAGAAGCTGTTTTAGATATATCACTCAATTTTCTTGCTAACCCAAAATCGCAAAGCTGCAAAACAGGAATCAAAGGAAACTCTTTACAGGTATGGTGAAGAAAACTATTTGCCATGTCACAAGAAAAGAACCGTAAAATAATGGTCAAATACCTTTGTGCGTCCATTTTCATCCAAGAGAATGTTTGATGGTTTCAAGTCACAATATATAATACCCTTTGAATGCAAAAACCTGATAATCGCCCAACGACCAGAGCATGACTTGAAAATTAAATGTTCCATATCCAAAGATTTGTCTAAAAGTAATAATATAAATAACAGACAAGGCTAATGAGTTTCTCTTACTGCAAAGCTCTGACAAGGTCACGAGCAAGATCATGTATTGAATCTTCGGGAAGTTTACCATCCTGCAACAGGCATCTTAAAATTCAAATCATCGATGTAACAGAGATTGTTAAGTGTATTGTAGTATGACAAAAAGGATATGGAGACCTCCATTGGAATAACAATGTGTTATTTAACTGTGTATTCTGATAAAGGTTTATCATCTATGGATGCAAAATCCTACTTTATGTTACTTAGCAAACCCATATGAGCAGCTTACTATATGGAAGAGTATGAGATTGCATCCATACAAATATAAAAGAGCTACAGTTTCTGGCTCCTTCTATTTGGGCATAACAGCTAGATATGTATAAAATACCTGCTGCAATAAGTTCATGAGATTTCCTCCAACACAATATTCCAAAACCAACCACAAGTGAGCAGAAGTTTCATACCTAATATGTGGATTCAGTGAAAAAAGAAAGAGAGAAGAATTATCCAACCGAAATTCAAAAAATGACATTGAACTGATCATCTAGGATGATCATCATCTAACAAAATCATATAAGCACCCTATCAAATCAAAAAAAAGTTCTTGTCTCCAAATAACAACAAGCCTCACCATGAACAAAACTTGAGTACATTTGGGTGATCTAGAGAGTGAAGAATCCTAACCTGCAGGTAAGTGAAAAATCATGATATTATGTGAGAGAAACAGACATATACTTTGGTTGGTCATTGTTATAATCAAGATTAACATACAGACAGAAAGAGAGACAGACAGACACCCCCTAATCCCTGCAAGAGTTATGATATGAAACTGTCGCAACAGCAGTTCAGTCTAACTGAAACTATCATGTGATTCCACATTTTTTATTTACTTGGGTAAGTTACAAGGCTAAAGAAAACCAGCCAAGATGTGCCACTTTCTAGGATTTGCCCTGTGTATCATCCATCGAGGGAGGAAAGGCACCACAGTGAACCTTACTTTGCTTTAGAAAAAATTTTTAACAGATACAAGATAACTAGACTTGCACAATCTAGAAGCATACAAAAGAAAGCCAAATTATATTTCAAATTTATAATGAATAACTAAAAATTTCCTCTCATTAATTACCAGACATTATCCATTAGAGGATTCACATTGTACATGAATTTAAGAACAATTCAGAGTTCATAGTATTCGGGCCAACGCAGCTTCTTTTACGCGTTAAAAATTGTACTTGTTGTCAAATTATCCAGTTAAGCTCGGTAGCAAAAAAGTGAGTAGCTAGAGTTACAGATTAGGCAAACTTCAAAATTTCTAGAACACAACGCAATTTCAAAGTGAAACCAAAGTTCCTTAAATCATTCAATTCTCCATAAATAAACAAAAATTAACGACAGTTAAACTTTAAACCACCTCAAAAGAACACAACAAATCAAACACAGGTTCACAAATACACAAACAGAAGTAATAGTAAAAAGAATTCAAGCGTACTTCGTGGAGAACATTGCTTTTCTGCGATTTATCAACGCTCTTAACCGCGAAATACTCAATCGTCTTCTTCTTCCTCCCTTTATACACAGTCTACACGGCAAATTCACACACATACAGGTACACAATTAGATTCTGAAAACAAACCCGAGGAAATCAGTTCAAGATAGAAGAGCCTACCGAGTATTTGCCACGGCCAATGGCTTCATAGATGTGGTACTGATTCATAGTCGCTGGACAGAATTTCTAGGTTTTCAATTTTGAAAGAAAGACCGTTTGTGCGATAGAGAGCGAGATCGCAGAAAATGAGAGGTGTATTAGGTTTAGCAAATAAGGATTTAGATAGCTTTGCTTGGATGTGATGAGAGAGAGAGAGAGAGAGAGAGAGAGCTTGCTGCACTGATTGTGAAAGTGAAGGCAGAGAGAGTGAGCGGGAACATAAGCGTGATTCAAAATCGAAAGTGAAAAATAATTAAACGCATCAGGGATAAGCTATATTCTGTAGCCAAACAATGCCAATGGCGCACAAACGAACAATATAAAACAAAACAAAACAAAACAAAACAAAAAAGTCGAATGAGGTAGAAGTTTGGTGGATCTTGGTCGGTGCAAAAATTGATATTTGTGGTGGATCATACCGGATTCAATTTTGACCGATCGGGATAGGATAATTAAAGTTCAATTTAAATATCTAACAAATTTTATTTTTATAATTTATATTCGAATTTATTAACAATACAAATTCAATTCGAATATTTTAATTTAACTTAAATTTAAAAAATTGTTTCTAAATTTTAACTAAATTTATTAAATAATCACTTAATTTCTTAAATATTAATATAGATATATATATATATATATATATTTTAGATTAAATTATTTATCGAATTTTTATAAATATATTCAAATTCAAATCTATGAAATTTAAGAGAACGAATTTTTATAATTAATAAAAAAATATTAATTCATATCCGATTAATCAGATTCGAATCAAAATTCAATTCATTCACAGATTTAGTATCACATTGAAATCCTATTTTTTTAATAAAATTTTCATATTCATTTTGTCTATGTTTTTTTATAATACGGGCATGTAAGTTTCTATTAAGGGGACTTCCTCAAAAGTCAAACCTTATTTCTTTTATATTCATCCATTTTTCAATATCTTAATATTATACATTATTTACTGCTGAATATCCCATTAAGATATAAAGTGATGCGAGTTCAAATTCATGGCATATAATACAATTATTAGAAGAATTAAGTGAAATAAGTACTGAAGTAAATCTGAATCTAGTATCTAACTTAACTTGTCTAGGTGTTGGTCACATAAATCTCATACTTTTTTTTATTAAGGGAAGATAGTTAGACTCCAATTGGACAAGATAAAAGTATTATGGAAAAAATAAGGGATATTGTATTAAAAATTACAATTTTATAAAGTTAAGTTATAATATTTTGAAGGTGTAAATTATAACTTTAAAAGACACGATTGATCATGAATTTCTCTTATTGAACATAGTCTTTCATTAAGCAATTGTAACTTTCAATTTTAAAATTATAACTTTATTATAAAAAATGATAATTGACGGCGGTACCGATATCAGAAAAAAAAAAATTGATACCATAGACTTTTCCGAAAGTAAGATGGACGATTCTGGATAAATAAGGTAAATAATTAATTAGTCAGGGAGCTCCAAATTACTTTAGTAGCTCGAAAAAAAAAAAAAAGCTATATCGATAATGAAAAAGAGATATATCAAGCATTGAGTTGGAGTTTTTTTTTTTAGGCCAAACATAGAACGGTGAGTGTTAGACTAACCGCTAATTTTATTACTAATTAAAAATTATTATTTTTATTGGTCAACATTACTAATGGAGTTGAATTGTAGTTTTTAAATGAGAAAAATGGAAAAAAAAATTGTTATAATAAATTAGATCAAATTTTTAAATCTGAATAATATAACTCAATAAAAAACAGGGGGGGGGGGGGGGGGGGGGGGGGGGGATGACGGAGAGCATAAGAGGAAGAAAAAAACTAATAAAAGCACATCAACCTAACCACGGTAGAGGCACAACCGAACCAACCCTAGTCATACGGCTCCAGCCAATAAAAAATAGACGCCTCGCGAATCACGGCCAATGGCCAAGTGGAAGCATTATTGTTGTGTTATCGAGAGAAGGACTTCCCACAACCACGCGCATGAATGTGTATTCATAAAACATTCGGATACGAAATTAAAATTATTTAAAATTAGATAATCAAATATTTTTCCATCTAATCGAAATAAAAATATTATTTAAATTTAATTTAATGACTTAATCAATTATAACTTTTTTGATTGACAGTTAATTTCAACTAATATAAGGGTCTATTATTGATGATATACAAATTGGTCTCGTGTAAGATTAACCGTCAACTTTATGAACCAGTGTAATTAATGATCAATAAATAAGATAATCAATGACAAAACAATAAATAAGAGTAAACACGCAAATTTATAATGGTTCGGTCCGAGTGACCAACTTTACTCTGGAGAACGACAGTGGTAGCTAGAGATCTTTATTAATGAATAAAAGTCACTATGAGAGTATACTACGAGAGAATTGCAATGCTTTGGGAGAGAGAAATTTGGTGTGTAGAGAGGTGAAGAGATATAATGTGGTGTGTGAAGGTCTCAAAGATGATGTCTTCTATGTGGAAATGACTTACATTATATAAGTATGGTGAGACAGTGAGGCGGTGACGCGAGAGAGATAACACTATTCTTTTAGTAAATACAATTAAGGTAGAATTAGATTTTCATGAGTATCTATTCTGATAATTTATCTCACGTGCTCCTATCTTTCCGGGCTTCTTGGATTTTGAATTGGGTCGAACTGGCAAAGTGTTTCTTGATTTATTGGGTCTGCTTCAATTGATTCTGGACTCATAAATTATCAAATTAATTAAATATAATTGTTACGATTCTACATCAATTAAAAAATAAGATTGAATGTATGTATATGAATTATTGGACGCTATTTCCTTGCAAACTAGTTTTCTAGGATAAGTTTTATTCATAAGTTCATAATAATTAGTATCAAAGTTAGTCACCATGTTGAGTATGACATTAAACCCAATGTGAATTGTGGCTCTATGTGATCGAATTATGAAAATGACAGTCTATAGTAATATATGTGAATATAGTGTTATCTCATTGAATATTGATAGATGGACAAAACCTCAAAATTGAAAGGCCAATCGTTGAGTCAGTGACGATAGAATGGGCTGTTGTGGATGATGGTTATGAAAGCACGGTAGAATATTACAATTTTATATCAATTAAAAATAAAAATAGACGTGTGTATATGAACTATTTGACATTATTTTATTGCAAGCTAATTTTCAAGAAAAATTATACCCATAGGTTCATAACAGTAATTGATTGAATCTACAAATTAAATTAATAAGTTAGGTCCAATAGCATTGCTCCTTCAAAATTATCGTGGTAGATGACTGAAACATTCTCTATTATTTGGAGTAAGATTAGAGATTTTTTAATGGATCATTTATCATATATTTTAGTAAATTTATTATATACAAAATCAATCTCTTACTCATTATTAATATATAACGCATGCTCTGTTTGGTAAGATGAAAAAATAGAATGATAGAAAGTTGGATTGATATATTAATCATCATGTTTAGTAAAAAAAGAAAATAGAAATGATAGAAAAGTGCATGGATAAACTTTTTTTCGAACTCACTAAAATCAATCACTCAAAAATTGAAAGAAAAATGGACAGAAAATTAAATATTTATATTGAAATATATCTTATTTATCTATATATATATATATATTCATATATTCATATATTATGTATACATTAATTTCATATATAAATATAATGATAAATATATGTATTTTATTTTATTTTTAAAAAATTAAATTAAAAAATAAAAAATATATTTTTTTCATCTTACCAAGGACAAAAAAAATCAATCACTATTATTTTTATCCATCATACCAAATACAAAAAAAATATATATATTATTTATACTTTTCGTATTTAAAAGATAAAAAATGTACCCTATTCTATTTTTCATTACTCCTGCCAAACGAGAATCAGTAGGAACTAAATTAAACGAAATACAGCGAGTGAGCACAGTTGGTCCAAGGGGTTTGTGAAACAGTGAACACGGATCACACATCGGTCACATACATTAGTTTTTCTCCTACACACCGATAAGTGATAACTCTCTCTCTCTCTCGATCGAACTCCAAGGGGTGTTCTGAGGTAAACAGGATTAATCAATTTCTCTCTATCCACTTGCTGGTATCAAGTTGTATGATCTCAGCGGTGTTTCAAATTATTCTGTTTTTCGATTCTATTCCCAAAATAATTATTATGCTTTCGTTTCATCAGAGATTCTATATGCTCGTTTGACTTAAATCTATCGCTAATTTGTTATTTGATGTAGCTTGATTTTTACTCTGATCAACAACTTCCTTTTTTTGTTCTTGTCGGTTTGGATGATTATAAGTTTTATGTTTCCTAATCAGCAACCTCTGAAGTTATAGATCTAGAGTTTATCAGTAAACATGCTGTGTGCTTGCTTGCGCGATTGTCTTTGTTTGGGGTTAGAGTAGCATCTCTGAGCTTTTCTTTCTTTCTTTTTTTTTTTTTTCAAACGACTGAAATACTCGAGATTCTTTTGAGTTTTGAGTTGGTTGTGAATGATTTCCTACTTAATTGAGTGCTATAGCAAGTGATAGTTTTGTTTATTGATTGAAATAGATTGATTGTATTTTGGGTTTTTGTTTATTGATTGAAATAGATTGATTGTATTTTGGGTTTTATTACTCTGCGGAATTGTATGTTAGATAAGATCTAGTTAATAGTTATTAACTGGCTTAAGCAATTTTGTCTAATATGTTATCGGCATTCAAATCTTTATGCACTCTATTGCTATTTATGTACGTACACTTGTGTATCCACAACCACACATTAGAAAGCAGAAAAATAGCAAAATAGAATTTGGCTTTACTAGGGTGGAACATAAAAACCTGTTGGGGACCCCTTCAATGGCCCTTAACTTGTCACTCACCCATACAGAGAAATTCGCAAATACACCCTATGGTCCATTGAAGGTATTGTGTCACTTAAACTCAAATCTATCTTAACTTTTGGAGGGGGTTCGTGGTGATGGTGGAAGTTTTATCTGTGTCTTACTGTTCTGGGTCTTTTGTTTTTATTTAAACTCTGTCCTTGTGGGTTTCTATATGCATGTCTATAATCATCTTAATCCGTGAAAACTGGTAGACCAGCTACTTCTTGATGGCTCTCATATGTGTATCTGGTTAATAAGACCTGGTTATTATAAATTATTGATATTGTAGCTAACTAATAACATATGGTTTTGTCACTTGCTTAGATCACATATAACAATGGTGAAAGCTGTCGCAGTTCTCAGCAGCAGTGCGGGTGTTAGTGGCACCATCTTTTTTACCCAAGAAGGAGATGGTAATTATAAATTTATCATATAATCAACTGCTATCAACACACGACTGCGAACATGGAATTAAAACTATTCTATTTGTTTTGTCTCAGGTCCAACTACTGTTACAGGAAATCTTTGTGGCCTGAAACCTGGGCTTCATGGTTTCCATGTCCATGCTCTTGGTGACACAACAAATGGCTGCATGTCAACAGGTTATCTTTATTCTTCATTGTCATCTTCATTTTATAGGTATCCATGGAGCACTGGGGGATGGAGATTGGGGAACAAACAGTATGATACTTCAACGAGTGTGGTTTTGATCGGGTCAATTTGCAGGACCACATTTCAATCCTGCTAACAAAGAGCATGGTGCTCCAGAGGATGAGAATCGTCATGCTGGTGATCTTGGCAATGTTACAATTGGTGAAGATGGTACATGCTGTTTAATTATGACTAGAAAATCTTCTACCCCATCATCATCATAAATATATATTGATTTCTCCCTAAATTTTTTTTATCATAAATATCTATCAATATAGCGGCTTTATCTTAAATATTGTACTTCGTTCCTTGTTAATGAGAGAACTTCGTATAGCCATTATTGTGTCATTGCTATCACCACTGTCAGTAAAATCTTAGTTTACGTGGTTATTTTTATTGCACATACAGACTGGCATTGCACAATTAACTTTAATAGCCATGGTAGGATGGCAGTTGTTTTACTCTGAAATTGCTAGGAAAAATGGGGAGACAACAGGACCTAAATAGACAGATTGGAACTCAATTTGAGCCGAATCCTTGAACCAGCAAGTCAATTGTCCCAATCCACATTTTCCATCCAATGTGTGCCTCTTCTTTTCTCACTTGTTACCCCCAAAGATCAAGTGTGAACCCTTACTAAACATTAAGACCCCCTTGAGTGTGAATCACTCCTTAGCAAGGCTCATGTCTAAACCACTCTTCATGAGTCACCGAGTCTCTATTCCTCAGGAGTCTGCATTATGCACACACCTTGCTCCATCGACAGTCCAATATGCATTACCAGGACTCTAAGAACTGACATCGTTCTTTCGCCAGAACCATGCGGCGACACTGCTTTTTTGATTTTATTAGGATCACCAGACCATTGCCTCTTGGCCTAAATATACAAATTTAGTCCAATCTTGACCCAAAAGCTTAAGCCATTGAGTCTTGTGCTCATCTATGTATAGAATTTTAATACAGTGCTGGTAGAGACCACTACCATGATTTAGTCATGTAATAGAAAAGACACGCATTTGTTAAAGTTACATAATACCTCACAGAATATATACAGCTCTGACATATTGCTGTGCCTTTTTATATTTTAGGTGCTGCTTCCTTTACTATTGTTGACAAGCAGGTGACTTTTTTTGTCAGGCTCTTATTTGCGTAAAACATTCTATGTACTTCCTTTTTAACAGATCTCTCAAATATGGGCTATTGTTTTCAGATTCCGCTCTCTGGACCACATTCCATCATTGGAAGGGCTGTAGTTGTCCATGGTGACCCTGATGATCTGGGAAAGGGTGAGCATCAATTTTATAATCAATACGTTGCCTTTATAGTAGCTTCAACTGTAAACCATTTACCTTCCAGCAAGGCTCGCTAGACCAAAAAAAAAAAAACCATCATGTTACACATAGTAACCGAGGTATTAGATATTTGCCTCAAATGATACTTGAGTTGATTGCATGCACCGATTGTTACATTGTATTTCTTGAAGTTTTTGCTTTTTCGTAATAATTATTTATCTTTCTCGCCCAATCTCACTGCATCGCTTTACTTGCTACCTCTATTTGTTTAGGAGGCCATGAACTCAGCAAAAGCACTGGAAATGCTGGTGGAAGGGTTGCCTGTGGTAAGCAGCATGATTACTTAATAGCTAATTTTATTACTCATGCAGTTGGTTTATATATAATTTGAATACAAAAAGCTTATTGCACGATATAGAGAGGTCAGTACATTGCTTGAACTCCTGAAATAACCTGTATGTAAATCATATATAGAGAGTACTCAGCAAAAATAACTAGATAAAAATAGAAAGATGAGCTTGCCAATCAAAATCCTAAATTAACCTTAAATAAGCACACGTGCTTAGAGAAACTCTGTGAGCCTTAAAATTTATAATAATTGGTTGTTAAACAACTTCTAATTAATGTATGTTATCGTAATTTCTGCAGGCATCATCGGCCTGCAGGGTTGATTAACTACTCGTGGTGCTATCTACTCCCTGTGCCCAGATACGCTTGTGAAAATCAAGCTACTAGTTATGGAGATTCTGAAATAAAGTGTTGTTTTGGATTGATGAACTTTATTATTGTTGTTTGATCCTCTTATCCTTAGATGCTACCTTTTCCAGTAGCAAACTGAGAACATCAATCTGCAAACGTATTCTGGGTGTTATGCACTACTTCATGAGTTGTCCAAATAGTCAAAACTGTCTCCTTGTAAGATCTGGGAGAATAGAACATTTTGCAACTATGCTTAAATACTATTATTCAGTATCACTACAACCTTGTGTGAAATTGTGAGGGTTGCTATTAGTTTGAGTTGTTTATTTTAAAAGTTTTCAAAATTCTCATGCCTTTCGACTTCATAACGGTATGGATCGTCTGAATATTCTTTTTAGAAAAAAGTCGAAAATGTGGCTGTAGTGTTCCGTTTTTTGGTTATGATTGTTTCATGTTTGATGAGACAGAGGAACCCCCCTTCTTCAGTGGGACTTTAATCCAAATCCAGCACTAGTTGTTTAGTCATCTCCATTTTGTATTAGTACACACACTTATCTGGTGGAAAATTTTCAACTATTACCATAATTCCGGCCATGTCTTATCTGTGAAAGTAGTGTAGTGGTATTTTTTTTTTTTTTTTTCTATAGGGTGTGTAGGTTTGTGTTTACTACTTCCTCAAGTTTTGAGTTGGCTAGTGTAACTTGAGCTAGTTTCAAGACCTGTTCTTGAGGAATAAATGTGACTGACCTTTAAAGAGTGTAGAAAGTATTGAACTTAAGACCACTTATTTGCAAGAAGACAAACTTGATCACTGGGCCACCCACGAGAGTTTTGTGCAGTGGTATGTAAGAGTTGTTTAATGCACCCAATTACTATCCAGTCGTTTGATTTGGAAAATCAATCAAGTTCAATTCTGCTTGTGTCTTCTATTTAATGTTTATGCTCTACAAAGTTGATCCAAAGTCAGCATACCAAAAAAAAATAGGGTTACGTTAGATAGCCTATGATATATATAGTGTCGGAAAACACGGTATTATGAAACATACGGTCGATTTAAAGATCTCCTGACCTGATATTTGGTGAGGGGTTGGGATATCACCTTCACCACATATGGCAGGGTGGTTAAATCGATCGAAAAACATCCAAACATTTCATCAAATCAAATAGAAGTGGAAAAGTCTGAAATCATTTGAACTCGATCCTGTCATAGTATGGTGACAAATTCTGTTCGAGGTCCCCCCTTGCTGGCATGCGTGGGAGTGGTGTGTCCTACCTCTTTTGTGTTTTTACAAGATTTCATGATCCCACTGCTTAATAAAAGTAACCCACGATGTTCTGTTCATCAGACATCGTATCTGCTGTGAGTGTGACATGACCGATCAACTTAGACGTAAAAGATGGGTCTTATTCGCGTATTTTGTCAAAAAGTAATATTAGAATAATTTAAAAAGATTAAATGAAATGATGCTATCACCGACATAAAAAAAAAAATTTTGAATTTTAAATGAGTATGCATAGGACTAAAAATACTACCATATCTACTTCCTCATTTAAAATTATTTTTTGTCTAATTTTTTATAAATAATTTTCTTTTTTCCCACTAATTTGGAATATATAATGCAATTTTTTTTTATTACCATTATCATGCAAGTGAATCTCACTTTTTTCTAATAATTACTCCTCCACGTGAGATAATTGGCAACCACCTCATATAAAAAAGTGGGATCACATTGTTCACTTGATTATTTAATATTGTAACGATTTTCATCACGTGATAATATTAACGTGGTATAACTATTATTTACTATATGAGCAATGTTAGGGATTTTAAATTTGGGATCCCAAATTAATACAAAACATTTGATCAGCGAGTCTTGATAACTTTCAATCCACTCATTAAAGGGTAATTTAGGCAATTATAAAAATTTTATAATAACTTTCTTTTTGAACAATAGAATAAAAAAAATTAAAAATTTTTATGGCAAATTTTTCATACTAACTAAATACACACATGAAAATATTATATTCTTTTTTTTTATTTTTTTTATTTCACTTTCTATCTTTTTCACTTTCCTTCATTCTTTTAAACCTAACCAAACGGACCCTTTGGAATGCAAAAGTATTACCCTTATTTTAGCTTAGGATTGATAATCGATTCGAATTATTTGAATTTGGCTTGGATATGATTCGATTTAAGCTCAACTCGTGTTTTAGATAAGTCAAACTCGTTTAAAAAATAGACTTAAAAAACTCAGTTCGTGTATATATAAAATAATTCAACAATTTAAGTTCAATTTTTTTTTAAACGGGACAAGTTTAAACAACTTTTTAAATTTATTTAAAAAATCAAGCTTAAAAGACTTAAGTCGAGGTTGCAAAACTCGACTTCGTTATCGACGATAGTCTGGCATCATATGGTTTAGTTGGACATGGCGTTGCCAATTTTCCACGTCAGAAACGTGAGCGGTTTTGATCGCATCTCACCAACCCCACCGAACTTTCTCCCTCTCCGTCTCCCTCACCCTCATTCTCTCTCCTCCTTCTCTGAGTATATAATACCATCCCGTACCTAATACTTAGCTGGCAGAGCACGCCTCCTTTAATCTCTTTGCTTTCTCGGCAGCCACTACAATGGAACTGGTAAGTCTTCGCACTCTTCCTTCCTACTTCCATTTTTTTTTTCCGCGTTTGGCTGCTCAGAAATAGTAAGAAAATTGGAAGTCTTTCAAACAGCCATTTACTCCCAAGTCCCAACAACCACCCATTTACTCCCAACAACCACCCTGCCTGTTCCAAAGTTCCGAACAATTTTCGTTTATTTTCCTCCATTTTATCGTGTACCAAACATACTTGGACACTTGCTAGAAATTTTCTGGTTTTCTGAGTGATTTTTCTGTTATTTGGTTTTTTTTTTCATCTTGAATTTCAGGTTGCATCTCCTGTGGAAATGGAAAAGGGGGAAATCAGGAGGAATCCTACCCTGATTTGTGCTCCGATAATGGCGGATTCAGTGGATCAGATGTTGATTCAAATGAAGACGGCAAAATTGAGTGGTGCAGACCTTGTGGAGGTCCGATTGGACAGCTTGAGGAGTTTCAATCCGCTCCAGGACATCGAGACCCTAATCAAACACTGTCCATTGCCCACTCTATTCACTTACAGGTTCACTCATATAATCCTATTCAATCCAAATTGTGTAGCAGATATATGCTGATCTTGTTATCCAAATTACTGGCACATCTCCAGTTTGTGAAATGAATAATGAAACTTTTATTCAGAAATGTCTTCTTTTACTTAAGAAGATTTGTTCTTTTATTGCTTGGAGTGAACAAAGTCAACCCACTAGTTGAATAACCGGAAACTCTACAAAATTTATATGGTAAGATCTTGTAATCTGAGAATAATAAATGATCTGTGTGAACTGAATTAGAGATAAGGCAGTAATTGGGATTAGCTTCTTAATTTTAACTCAATTTGTTTTTTCCTGTTGATAAACGGTATTGACTCCGTCATTAGAGCATTAAATGGAGTGTAAGCTCTATATTGAACTAGCGTTATTTTGCAGTAGTGATAGCATTGACGTGCAAAGCGACTTATAAAATCATATTTCAATAGTTTACATGGAATTGTTAATCGTTACTCATTACTAAGGGTGGATTTAGCAATGCTTGTAATGCACACTAAGCTGTATTATTCCTATGTTGTGTATATCTATCTTTTGCTTGTTTTAGTACTTTTCTGTCTGATTATGATGGGTCATTTTTGTGGTATATCATTTTATTATATTACCTTTTCAAGAATATCCAGGCATGGTCCTTTCTGATTTGATGTATTTTTCTAGACCAATATGGGAAGGTGGGCAGTATGATGGTGATGAAAAGAGTCGATTGGATGCACTTCGAGTAGCCATGGAGCTCGGAGCTGATTACATTGATGTTGAGCTGAAGGTTGCTTTCTTATTAGCGAAACTTAAACAGCTCACTAATTGCATTGATTGTATTAGATAGGTTTTTCCTCAAAATTGTCACTGGAACTACTTTATTTATTTGAAAGTCAATTATAAAAGAAATCCATAAACACTAGATTGGATTTATCATATCTTTGCATATATAAAGCTCAAGTGGTTTGCGAATTGAAAATGGCTCATAATTTTTCTAGGGATGATTGTGACTATATCATAGGACAATCCCTCATTGGGTTCAAATGAGCTCCGGGGAAATTGACTACACTTTTCAATATTGAGATCTTCTTCTAATGTAACATTTCGTTCAATTTAGTTAATCTTTGAGGCCTTTTACAGTATACTTTTGGACAGCATATGTCACTTCCTTTGGGAAGTTTCAATTTATTTTCCATCTTACTCCAGCTCAACACTCTCTTACATGATCTTCGTGTGGGTGTTGCACCAATGCATTTATTTTAATATTCGGGAGATTAATAGGTTTGTCTCTCTTTGTCAGTTTGTTGAAATTGTTTTGTCTTTCTGTCTCACAGCTTTTGTGGTAAATCAGACAGCTGAAAAATGAGTATCTTATTATAAATCACGAAGTATGTGCTAGATCCATGCCCGTGCACACTCCTATACTCACCAGTTTTTACTTCCAAGATGTTAAACTGTTTTTCTTGTCCTCATTTTGAATATGCTATTGAAATTGCGAAGTCTGAATTTTCTCATGCTACTGTATATTCTCTGAAGGCTATCCACGAGTTCAACAATTCCATGCATGGAAGGAAGCCTGCACAGTCCAAAATTATTGTTTCCTCCCACAACTATGAAAACACTCCATCTGTTGAGGATCTTGGCAATCTTGTGGCAAGAATACAGGCAAGTGGAGCAGACATTGTGAAGATTGCAACAACCGCCTTGGATATCACTGACGTTGCACGCGTCTTTCAAATAACTGTTCATTCCCAAGTAAGAGGCGTAAGTAGTATGGCCAAATCTTTTGTGTAATTGGAGTTTCATACTTCTCTCCATTTCCTGGTGGAATAAAAATTATCAAGTCTTACATAATATTAATTTAGATTTTTGGGGCCATGACTTGAGGCTGAAAAGATGATTAGAGGTTTATAATCCAGTCTAAGGTGCATATATTGCTTGCGTGATTTTAAATTCTACCAAATAAATTCAATGGCTGATGGGTGTTTATTCTAATATGTTTTGTCTACAATTACCAATTGGTTAATAAATTCTTACCCAATCGATTTCTCAAATGAATTAGACACTAGGGAGTATAGAGATAGATATGAGATACGGGTACGATAAGGATACGATGATATGACAAAATCCAAAAAAATAGGATATGGATACGGCCAGGATACGTCTATAAATATATATATTTTATATTTTTATTATTATGTAATGACTTGATAGTTATAATTTTTAGAGATTCTTTAAAAATAATAAACAATATTAACAATTTTTTATTTTTTAAAAGTTACTTATCGTCTTAGTTCTCACTATGGAACATCTATAAAGTGAAAGTGATTAATTAAACGAATAAGAATCAACATTTAACTATATTGTTTGCTTAGAAGTATATTTTGATAAGATTATAGATTAATCAACTCATCTAACTCTTTGGACATGTGATAATGCAATACTATTTAGAAAACACGCATATGTCTTTCAAGTCATATGAATTTTTATTGATGTATGCATTGTATGTGAAATCAAAAAGAAAGGGTAGAGATTAAAACTGAAAATTACACAAATTATATAGAAGTATTCGCGAAGTATCCATATATTTTATTTATTATTGGATACGTTTGATGTGTATTTGATTGGTATCTTCGAGTATCCGATGAGTTTCATATCTAATATGGATGTGTCCACTTTAACAAAGTATCCGTGCTTCATAGATTAGACATGCCCAATGCATGAAAAACATAGAGGATCATAATTAGGTAAAGTTAGTCTTCATACTTTGGGTCCTCTTGTTGGATTTGAGCTGAATTTGAGATAGTTACAAGACAAATAAACATTTCTAAACATTGGAATAGATGGTATGACAATGTGGCAGAAATGCTAAGAAATTGGCAACTTGGACCCAGATTCACTTTCAACCTGATAACAATGGGCTTCCACTGATGAAAGTTAAAAAAGTAGAAAGAATGAAAAGAACACCATTATAAACAACTCCGAATACAAAATAATGATTGATAAAATTCTTACAGCCCACTCTCCCCTACTCCTAAAAAATAAGAAATTAAGATAAAAAAGCAAAAAAGAGCTGGAAAAATTAAAGTTTGTTTTTTTTTTCCTTATCAGTTCATGAATGAGGAGTCCGACTTAGTGCGTATTATTATTTTTTTTTTTGTGAAGAATCAACTTATTACAAGTTTAGGTTCCCAGACCTTTAGCATGTGGAAGAAAAAATAATCCATTTAGTAGGTAGAAATGCATTTTGGGTTTGTTAGAGTTTGTCTAACATCAATAAAAGAGCAACTTTAAAACTAGTATTGAGCCTTGTGGGACTCTCACTCCAATATTCTTGAACTTTGGATCTTTAACACGGTATCAAAGTGGGGTTTGAGTGGTCAGTAATTCAGGCCTCTCACCCATTTGACTTCTCCGGTTTGTTTATTTGTCTATGTTTGTTTGGTTGAGGGAGATCATGAAGAGAGTTTGTAATCTATATGAAAAGATGAGGTTGGTTTATATGGTTGAGGGGCATCTTCACTCAGTTTTTATTCGTTTTGAGATGGATGCTTGGTTCAAGGAAATATATGATTTAATATTTTTTGATCTCCTAAAGGCATTATGTAGAGAAATGGAAAAATTCTACATAAGACCAAAAGTAATGCTTTTGTGTTTGAATATGATTTTATTACTGTATGTATTTGGAGAAAAGTATGATAAAAAGGACTCCTTACAATTTAGACCCAAACATTTTTGAAGTTCTTAATGCCATATTCTAAAGTTCCTGTATCCTATTAGTTTCATTTATGTAACACTGTTTTTGATTTTTCATTTATGCAAACACTCGTAGTTCATTCCAATGGTTATATCATTTTCTGATCTGTGTGGGACTGCAATGTGTTTCAGGTTCCAATAATAGCAATGGTTATGGGAGAGAGGGGTTTGATGTCACGGATACTTTGCGCCAAATTTGGTGGATATCTCACTTTTGGTACACTTGAGTCGGGAAGACTATCAGCTCCTGGGCAACCAACAATTGATGATTTGTTGAATTTGTACAATTTCAGGCAGATAGGGCCTGATACAAAAGTATTTGGCGTTATTGGAAAGCCTGTTAGCCACAGCAAATCACCTATTTTGTACAATAAAGCATTCAAAGCGATTGACTTCAATGGAGTTTATGTGCATTTGTTGGTGGATGATGTTGCAAATTTTCTCCAGACTTATTCGTCTACAGATTTTGCTGGGTTCAGGTTCCATCATATAGTATAATTATAGTAGTAGTAGTAGTACTAGTACTTATCTAATATTTGAAGTGGTATCTGTTCATGCATTGGTTTTGCCAAGATGTCAATCCTTGAGTTTCTTTTGTTTCTGGGAGCTAAAATTTTCTCTAGACACTCTATTTATCTGGTAATATTCATCCATGTATGCTGTCCCAAGAGTTACTTCCAAGGGATATACGACCATTGATTTCATCTCCCGGAATAAAGTCTATAATTCAGCTTTATTTTGTATCTATAATTCCTCACAAAGCTGCGAAGGTTTGATCCAATTGCTAAAGTAGTTGGTGATACAATAATGTGTTGGGATTGTTGAAAAGCCTGTTACCTACGATAAATCACCTATCAAAGCCCCGTGCATTTGTTCATCTATAGATTGTGTTGGGTTCAGGTTCAGTCTTGTAAAGGAAAAACGGCTGTAGCATCTATTTAATATTTGAAGTGCAATTTGTTCATGCATTGGTTGTAAAGATTCAATCCCCGAATGTCTTTGTTTCTGGAGCTGTTTTTTTTTTGGGGGGGCTCCTTTTTTCTGTTAATGTTAATCGACATTTGTTTTCCCATGAGATACTTGTATGGATGGGGTGTCAAGGAGTCCATGTAACTGAGAATGCAGTAATGCTGCTTTGTTTTGTGCAGTTGTACAATTCCTCACAAAGAGGCTGCACTTAAGTGCTGCGGCGAAGTTGATCCAGTTGCAAAGGTAATGGGCTATGTCTTTATTTTGTTATGCTTACGTTGTAATGGTGATCTGGTTACACTAATTCTAGTTTTTTATGTTTCCTTCCCCTATTCTGTATGTTGTATGCAATTGTTTAATTTAATGATAGTATCTTGCAGTCAATAGGAGCTGTTAATTGCATTATCAGGAGATCAAATGATGGGAAGCTATTTGGTTGCAATACTGACTATATTGGTGCTATTTCGGCTATTGAAGATGGCCTACGAGGTTTCTTCTGTGCTTTACAAGCTGAGCAGAAATTTTGTGTCAAAGTATTTTCTCATTTTCTGTACTACAATATTTGGTTTTACAGGTTCACACCCTATAAGCAGTACAAGTGGGTCACCCTTGGCTGGTAAACTGTTTGTAGTCATTGGTGCAGGTGGTGCGGGCAAGGCTCTTGCTTACGGTGCAAAAGAAAAGGGAGCAAGGGTTGTGATTGCCAATCGCACTTATGGTTAGTTTCAGCTTTGCCTTGCATCTAAATGTAGTCTATTTAATACAAAATATGATATTATATCATGTCAAAAAAATGATATTATATGGCCTCATCTCTTTCTGTTGTCTTGTTTCATATATCTAAGGTAAACCTATTAGTTTTCACTAATCTCATAAGCTTATCTGTAGGATGGTAGTTTATGACTTTTTTTCTTCTTTTATCTGCAAAGATCGAGCTAGAGAACTTGCGGATACAGTTGGAGGAGATGCATTGTCTCTTAATGAATTGCTTAATTTCCATCCAGAAGATGGTATGGTTCTTGCAAACACAACTGCTATCGGAATGCACCCGAAAGTTGATGAAACGCCCATATCAAAGGTTTACCTACTTTTAGTGCTCCTTTCTTGCATTAAACTTCTCATAGTTGTTGATATTTGACTTTTTGCCTTACCATCGGGAATTAATTATGGCATTCACTTGATGTGTGCTTGAAATGAGATTGTTGGAAGAGGTACGGACCTTGTCTCGAGCACTTATCTGGCATTGAGAGTCATTTCTCCTTCTTTCTACATTCTTTTTTTCGTTTTCAACAGAAATTGGCGATCATATAGTGTGTTTGAAATGACATATTTACTTCCACCCCATCTATGTAATGACATTTGTGAATAATGAATAAGGGAATATTGTCACTGGTTCTTTAGATCACCTTCAGATGTTCCTTACATATCATATGTTTTTCCACCATACTTGAAACAGATTAGGCTTTCTGTAAGTACAGATAATTTCAATAAAAGCATCTCAAATTTAAATAACCTTGTAACATGCCTGGTCTTGCCAATGCACGTGCATCATTACCTTGTGTCAAAAAAATAATTGGTCTCCTGTCAAAAGTTGTCACCTGTGAAGCAGTAAATTTCTTCTATTCTTTGGAAGCTTTGGTATTCTGATGTTAGTCATTGAATGTTTATGAATTGTACCTAAGGTTGTTCATCATAAGTTGAATTTACATTCTTACGTAGAACTTGTTAAACAAGCCAACCACTCCTAAAATTCGTGTCACATCATCATTGCTATCATTGCTATTCGTGTCACACCAAGCCTAATCTCTAATCTTTGCTATTTTTGGTTCTCTCTACTTTTTCTTTTCCTTCCAGCTGCTGTCATGGCTTAGTGTAACTCTTCCTCTTTCACTGTCACATCATCATCATCATGTTCCTCAAGGATCTCCTAACATAGCGTCCTTTCAAAATAGAACTCATCTGATCTCTATTAAACCTGACCCGTCAAACTACCTTCTCTGTAAAAGTTTACTTGTCTGAATTCTGCACGGCCAAGACCTTTACAAATATGTTGATGGCTATAAAAGTTAAAGCTTTTCAGACACTGTTTTAACGAAATTAAGTCGCTATTTGTTTCGCAGGAAGCTCTGAAATCATATGCACTGGTTTTTGATGCTGTTTACACCCCCAGAATCACCAGGCTGTTGCAGGAAGCACAAGAGTGTGGGGCCAAAATTGTTAGTGGGGTGGAGATGTTCATTGGGCAAGCATATGAACAATATGAGAGGTTTACAGGGCTTCCGGGTAAGTTAAGTTCTATACATTTGAAAAGTCATCTCTCAAATATACTTGCTCATTATGTCCATGGTGCTGAGTATTTATGTTTTCCTGGCTTTATTTATTGTGTGATTGCAGCACCAAAGGAACTGTTTTGGAGTACTATTGCATAAGAACGATAATAAGGTTTGTTTGGCTAATCTTTTATTGCACGGTAGACTCTGTTTTCCACTTTGCTTGATCTGAATTTGATTTCTTGGGGTTGGTACTTAGTGTATCCTCTCCCTCTCATTCTCTATTGAATGGACTTCCATTTCATCATCTCAGCAATTCCTGTTTTATGTATATTTAAGAGGATACTTTACTTTGAGTTTGTCTGCTCCTTCCTTTGACTCCGGAAATGGGAAAAATTTATGGTTCCAAGTTATGAATCAATGAGGCTTAAAAATTTGAAATTGATTCAAAAAAACTTGAGATTGATCTTAACAAACAGGATCGATCATAACTCGACCTCATTGAGTCAAAACGTGATCTGATCGAGTCATAACTCGACTTTAATTTGGTCGTAAACTCCCAGTACAGTACTGTAGCAAATACCCTGGAATAGTCTCCCATTTTCGAAATTTCTTGAATGACTTTTACCTTTACTTTTTGCAGGGACATCTCTGTTATTTTAGGTTCTAGTTGGCACATGTAGAAGTTGAGGTTTTAACCATTCTCCAGACCATAGGGGGAACCCCCAACAAGTGTACTTCATTTGCTTACCTACCAGAGAAGAATTGGTTGTTTCCATCCTTTTTTTTTTTTATATAATTTTAACTTTTTATTGTTCCATATTCTTTCTACCCTGTAGGACATTGTAATTTGATCCGTGTGATTGGAAAGAGGGAAGTCATTGTAATTTGTATGGACATCATCATCGTCATCTCATTATGCAATTATTTATTTCAAACTATCAAATATTTAGACACTAAGCTCTCCCATCAATGCTATTAGGGCCTAAAAATTTGACTTAATTTGTTAACATAATTCGCTGTAACCTTTACATTGATTGTATGTTCCATCAAATATTGGAACTTGGTGTTGATCCAATGATTCCTATTAAGCCACATTATTATGTCAGTAATTTATGTCAGATTTTTAGGTTCAAATAACATTAATCTTTTATTTGTATTTGGTGTTAGCTTTCTATAACCCCATCCCCCCCCCCCCCCCCCCCCCCCAATCATTCCAGGGCGACCTGACACAAAATGGAGCCTAAAGTGAGTAATTAAACAATATTTTATTAATTTTGAAAAGAAGTTTTAAGGTTTAAATCATCATACAATTTTTATTTATATTATTGATTTTGAGATGCGAAAGTATTTATTAGATTTTTGTATTCAAGTTTTGTCAATATGTTTTTTTTTTCCAATAGACAATATAGTTAATTCTATGATCCAAAAAAAAAATATATATATATATATATATATATAGTTAATACAAATAAAGCGTGATACTTGATATAATGGTAAGATATAATTTTATTAAATTTAATGTTAATATAATTGATGAAAAAAACTAAATTATAAATAATAAAACTTAAGCTAAATATTATAAACTCAAATGGTGTTTTATGTTGCCATTAATAACATAAATAAATTACTAACAAAGTAAAATCAAATCTAAAAAATTTTAAATTTATATTTTTTAAAATTGAACTTAATTGAATATATATTTTTGAAGTTTGATTTGAACATTAGACTTAATTAAACCACCATAAAATGGAGGCCTAAAGTGGGGCCTTTATGCCATTGGGCTGGTCCTGGTCATTCAGTAATTTATCGTTAAATTTATCAAGTTCTATCAAATGTCAGGGAGGAAGACCTATTGTAACTTAGGGATTCACATACCTTCTAATACGTTTTTTTCTTAATTTTTTCACAAATCATTAATTATAAATGAGAGAGGAACTCACTTATATACAATGAATTTCACTTTCCAACATTGAATTTAATGTTTCATAGTTAAATCACTCCTTGTAAATTTAAAGTGAGGTCAATTATATATCATCGAGTCTTTCATCATACATGACTAGTAATTTATTGAGAAAAATAGAGAAAAAATGTATAAAATTTTGGATTCACGCAAATAATAGGGACAATCACACAAATTTTGGATTCAGACTCTACGTGGTTTGTCACTTAATCACTTAGAATTCTTGACGTTTGAAATATTACATACAGACCCTTTGAGGTTTGTACGTACGAAACACTTACACTTTTGCCGTTAAATGTCAGTTAGTATATTTGTTAGTAAATTATATCCAGATCCCTTAAAATTTGTAAGCGTATAATATTTCGACCTCTCAAATTTTAAATGTTATATTAGGACAAAAAATGCTATAATCAAATATAGAATATCAAATATTTTAAATTTTAAAACTAAAATTTATGTTCTATTGTGTCATTATTGAAATAAAATCAAAAATAAAAAGCCAATTTTTTCTTTAAAAAATTTAATTAATATACAATTATACTATCTATTGTAACAAAATTAAAAAATTAAACAAGGGACTAAGTCATTAATAATAGAAAATGAATTTTGCAACTAAAATTCATGTTCTATTATATCATTTATTGAAATAAAATCAAAAATTAAAATTTAATTTTTCTTAAAAAATCAAAATTAGTATATAATTATACTATTTATCGAAATAAAACTAAAAAATTAAATAAGGGATCAAACTTTAATAGAAACAATATTCTAACCTTAATTTGGGTAATTTTGTAGTTTAATTTGGTTGTTTAAAAGACTAAATTAAATTCCAATAGATAGTATAATTATATAGTAATTATAATTTTTTTTTTAAAATTAATTTTTTTTTTTATTTTTATTTCAATAAATATTATAATAGAATATAAATTTTAGTTATAAAATTTAAAATATTTAATATTTTATTTTTTATTAAAGTATTTTTAATCTAAGTATAATATTTTAAACTTGAGGGGTCTAAGTATTACACGCCTATAAACTTTAGGGATCTATGTTTAATATTTAGGGAGTCTGGATATAATTTACTAACGAATATACTAACAAACATTAACGGTAGGGGGTCTACATGGTATGTGCGTACAAACCTCAGGAATCTGTGTTTAATATTTCAAACATTAGGAATTTAAGTGATTAAGTGATAAATTTTAAGAGTCTAAGTGTAATTCTCCCAAAATAATATAAGATTGACTCCTTTTAGGAAGGTAAAGCTATTATCCGTATATATTTATCATGCGTAAATTCATGTCAATCTATATAATAAAACAAAATGTCCTATTTACACAAAATATAATAACAGCGCAAATCGTTTAAATCCGATAATTTATATTATGGTTTACATTTTAATTTATAGAGTAAAAAATTTATGTATTGATAAATTAAATGGTATTGATAATTTTAAAATAGAGTAAAAAATTTATCAATACACTTACTCTAAAAAAAATGTAATCACACTCTAAAAAATCATAAATTAAATGGTAATTTGGAAGTTGATACAAAAATTTAGACTTATTTAATTAAAACTACATTAAATAAACTTATGTGGCACTAAGCACATTTTTTTGGAAAAAGACTAAAATACCATTTATTATTCAATTACTCTCTCTTTCCCTTCCTATCTCTAGTACTCTTTCACTCTCTCTTTCCTATTTATTTCTCTTTCTCTCATATTGATATTTTTTTTTAAAATATCTAAATATTTGATTTAATTTTTTTATTTCTATCCCCTATTTTTTTTCCTCTCTCTCACTCCCTCTCCCCTTATTTATTCTCTTTCTCCTTATATCAACATTACAATTACATTAATCAGTTGTACAAATTAGTTACAATTACCTTATAATACATCAAACAGTTCCTCGTATGTTATAAAAAATCAAACAATTACACTAAATAATTATACGAAATTACAACACCGACTCAATTTGTCATTCATTTATTTATATAAATTAAAAAGTTACACTATTTAGTATCACAACATGGTTACACCAATTATATACATCAAATTGAGTTTATCATTACACAAAAGATTTTATCACTATATTAAATTTAGTATATATAATTAGTGTAACGATACCGTGATACTAGATGATGCAACTATTTAGTTGATGTAAACAACTGAATGACAAATTGAGTTGGTACCATAATTTTGTGTAATTGTTTGATGTATTATAAAATAGTTGTAACTGATTGGTATAACTAATTAATTTAATTGTGTTTGTCATTATATTGATATAAATAGAGGGAGAGAAAATAGGGAGAGAGAGAAACAGGTTAGAGACAACACGAGGAGAGAGAGAGAAAAAAAATAGGGGGAGAGATGAAAAAGTAAATTAAATTTTTACATATTTAAAAAAGAAAATAAATTATCAATGATAGATAGAGATAAAATAGGAGAGAGACGGAGAAAGTAATGGGAAGAGAGAGATGGACAAAAAATAGGAGAGAGATAGTGAGAGAGTCTAATAAAATTATTATATATTTGACTAGATATATAACTATCAATCAATAATGTATAATTTAAGGAAAAATATTTAGGTAAAAAAATTTTAATTTCATTTGAAAATTCTACCTAAACACAATATATATTATTAAAATTGAATTTAATAAAATAAACAATTTATCTATACACTTTTTTTTCAAATAAATTTAAAAAATTATGCCCACGGCAAAAAAATCCTAAATAAAATATGAGTTAGATTCAAATTAGCCCGCCCAAGTTACACGGGCTTTCGTAATTAAAGGGCCCAATCTAGTATTCTTCTTTCAAGGGTAAAAGTGGTAATGCATGGTTGACATTTACCCCTAAACTTTCACATATTTACATTAGGTTTGAGGCAAATACATGTTCTTACGAATTCTACGAGATTGTAAACCAAATTCAAGGCGTCCTTCTTCATTTGGTACCAGTCTTTCCCCCGCTATCTGCTTTGCTCGTTTAATCAAAAAAGTCAGCTTGGGGTTCGTACGAACAAGTGAGCTCTCTTTAACTCTTGTTTATTGCCTTGAGTTTGCTTGCTCTTTGCTTTACTAGTGTTATTATTCCAAGTAATCGCTTTTTTCCATCTGTTTTTTTTAATTTTTTGGTCCCATCATTAGGGTTTTCCACATTGTCAAAGATCTATTTGAGAAAATTTTCACTGATCGGTAACTGGTTATATACTCACTTTTGAGGTGAAAAGTGTTGAACCTTTTTCTGGGTACTGTTTTTGATATGTTTAATTAAATTTTTCTTTGTGTTTGTACTTTGCATGTTTTTACCCTTTCCAATGATTGAGTTTTGTCGTTGAAGAAGAAAGTTCAAGTTTTGAGCCTGCTCCTGCCTTATTTTGGGTAGAGTTTAGGATTTTTGTTGTCCCGTGTTTTGCCATTGTTATTTGGTTGAGTTATTGATGACAAGGTTCCAACGCTAGTAACAATAGTGGATCTTTTTGTACTTGCAATGGATATTAACAATAAGTTAGAAGTTTAGAGAAAGGTTTTAGAATTCTAGATAAGTAGAAATGAGACTGAATTCATTGGATATGACTTTATTAATAGTAGAAATTCAAGTGGGGAGGTAATAAGAATAAAAAATCAATAGGTATAAAAGAGCAAACATTTTTTATATTTGGGGATATCTATGTGGAGAGAAAAATGGAGACTATGTTAATAAAAGTAGGATGAACTAAGTGGAGGAATGCATGTAGCGCGCATTGTGTGATCAACTTATACCTCTTAGGTTGAAGGCAACCATTTGACCAATAGTGCTATATGGTAAATAATGTTGGGTAAATTAGAAACGTGAATACTTTGCTCAAAAACCAAGTGTTGCAAAAATGATAATGCTAAGATGAATGTGTTGTATAATTATGTATGAGTATGTTAGGTGAAAGCGTATAGTTGCAATAAGAAATAAATTAAGAGCAAACTAGTTAGGTGGTTTGGACATGTTTATAGAAGATCTAGTATTGTACTAGTGAAGAAGGGTGATTTGATAAATGTGTGTGTATATATATATACACCCTTTTTTACTATAATACTTTGCGGTTTGATAGGAAAGATGACTTTTGATAGAGCAAAATGGTGAAACAGATTCACCTCCAAACAATTGGTATAAAGGCTGTTGAGTTGAGTTGCATCAATTAGTTTGCACACCTCTCAAATTTGCAGACACAACTACACTATGCCAAAGACCTGATTAACAAGATCATTCTTGTTTATCTTTGAAACGTGTCCATGAAACCTAGCTTATGGCATGTTCCTTGATTTGTTTGTACTTACTAAGATGTTTCAGCTAGGCAGTCCAAAGGAAAAGTAATGCTCTGGTAACTTCAATCAAGTGTTCGAAACTGCTGGGTCAATTTAATTGTATTTACTAGTTAAGAAATGGGATTCTGTTTTTTAGTTTTGACACCAGTCAGCAGGGTTTGTTAAACAGACTTGGAAATTTGGAGAAAAACGAACAAGTAACATGTCAAGGCATTACAATCATCTCTCTCTGATATTAAGAGGATCAGAAAACAAGTTTGTTAAGTTTTTGCTTTTCTTTCTTTTTCATATGTTACTATTTGTTTGAATGCATATCTTGAAAAACTTTGTAGACCAGAAGCACACATGTATTCCACCAATGCATATGCACACGCACCAGCACATGTATTTTCTCATTTATCTTTACGTCTAACTTGTTGATATTTTGAAGTTGTTATCTTCGGTTCATTATGATGGTGAAGCAAGGCACTGTTTGTTACATTTGTTAACTCTTATTTGTATTTTGAGGCCTGTCTGCTCTGTTTCATCAGTTCCTTCTCCACTAAAGCCCTCTCGCACTCACTTGCGGAGGGAAGAAAAACCCTGCTTTTCTGTTGCCTTTTTTTTTGGGTTGATTTAAGCTTCTGAATCAAATCATACTTGAATTTTACATGTGGAGTTAATTTTTTTTTTTTTGGGTGCAAAATTTTGCAGGTCCCGTTTGAGCATTTCCTTTTTTGGATTTTTTTGATATTATGTCTGACATGAGGTGTAATATCCACCTAATGGAGGCAATTTGAGTTAGGTTCTTTGGTTTCTGGATCAGTGATGGAGTGCAACAAAGAAGAGGCCATCAGGGCCAAAGAGATCGCTGAGAAGAAGATGGAGAACAAGGATTTTGTTGGGGCTCAGAGGATTGCACTTAAGGCCCAGCAGCTCTATCCTGATCTGGAGAATATTTCACAGATGATTTTGGTCTGTGATGTACATTGCTCTGCTGAGAACAAGGTCTTTGGAAAGGATAGGGATTGGTATGGCATCCTCAGGATTGAACCAACCTCGGATGATGCAGCAATTAAGAAGCAGTACCGTAAGTTAGCTCTTTTGCTTCATCCGGATAAGAACAAATATTCTGGTGCAGCAGACGCGTTTAAGCTGGTTGGTGAAGCTCAGAGAGTTCTTTTAGACTGTGAAAAACGGAGGATACATGACAGCTTATGTAAGGCTGCAGGAAGATTTCCAACAGCTAATTGGGCCCAGCAGCCAGCAAGCAAGCAGTCGAATGTTGGGAGACAGCCTTGGGTTCAGAACCACTTTACAGGCAATGCCACATCACAGTACATGAATCAGCAAAACCAGCAGCCACAACAACAGACTCAGTCAGGGCTTAAGGATTGTGCAACTTTCTGGACTGTCTGTCCATTCTGTTTTGTAAGGTACCAGTATTATAAAGATGTTGTGAACAAACTTCTGAAATGTCAAAGTTGTAAAAGGTCCTTCACCGGTTATGAAATGAATGCCCAAGGTGTGACACCAGGAGCCAATGGGAGTCAGTCTGCCTTCTCCCAAGGTCCCTTTAAAATGCACTCTCAAAGTACTACTAAGGATTTTACTTCCAATGTGGGATTTCAGGGAAGCAAGTATCCAACAAGGAATTCTTTACCAAAGGCAGGATGCACTTCTGAGGTTGGTGAGGGGTCAAAACCCAATGAAAAATTTGGGAATGTGGAAGCAAAAATTAATAAGGAGGGACAATCGAAGGAGCCTAAAAAGATGAATGCCAAGAGGAAGCAGGCAGTGGACTCCAGTGATAGTTGCAACACTGGAAGCAGCACAGACTCTGAGGAAGGTATAGTTATGGAAGAAGACGGTGATCATTTGGCTGGACAGAATTTCGCATATGGTGGTGAGGTGCACCCTCGGAGATCTACTCGGTCTAAAAAGCAGGTTTCTTATAATCAAAATATAAGCGACGATGATGACATGGTAACCCCATCGAAAAGGGTAAAAAGCAGTGGATGTTCCCATGCCACTGAAAAAGAGGTTGAAGATATATCATTGAAAGAAGAGGCCAGCAGTATGAACAAACCTGCTGGTCTTGCCGCTGATATGGAGGAGGACGAGGAAGAATTAAAAGAGAAAGGAAGTTCCTTTAATGAAGAGAGCTTGCAAAGTGGAGACGAGGAGGTGGAGAAGGCAAATGAAAAGGCGAAAGTGACTGAGGATGATAATAAAAGTCCTCAAGATAATCGTGTTCCTTCATCTAAATCAAGTCCTAATACTGCGACAGAACCAGAAATTTATGAATATCATGAACCAGATTTCAGTGACTTCGAGAAGAATAGAAAAGAAGAGTGCTTTGCAGTTGGACAAATCTGGGCTGTTTATGATCTTCTTGATGCCATGCCCAGATTTTATTGTCGTATCAGAAAAGTTTTCTCTGCTGGGTTTAAGTTGCAGATAACCTGGCTGGAGCCGGCCCCAGATGTTGAGGATGAAATTAAATGGGTTGATGAGGGACTGCCAGCCTCTTGCGGTAAGTTCAGACACGGAAACACTCAGACTATTGTAGATCGTCCGATGTTCTCACATTTAATTTGTTGGGAAAAAGGCAGCATAAGAGGCTCTTACAAGATATATCCAAAAAAGGGAGAAACTTGGGCCCTCTTTAAGAATTGGGATATGAAATGGTATTCTAATCCAGACAGAAAAAAGAAGTTTGAATATGAGTTTGTCGAAGTATTGTCAGACTATGCCGATGATGTTGGCATATCTGTTTTGTACTTGAGCAAGTTGAAACACTTTGCCTGTCTATTTTCTCGAAAAATGGAGGGAAGAGACTTAATCCTTATCCCGCCAAAGGAAATATTTCGATTTTCGCACAGGATCCCTTCTTTTCAGATGACTGGAGAGGAAAGGAAAGATGTTCCTAAAAGATCTTTTGAACTCGACCCTGCTTCTTTGCCTGCAGACCTTGAAGAGATTGTTGTTACTGAAAATGTGAGAACAGAGGCCGAAAAGATACATCTTAGTGGATTGTGTTCTGAATCTCTGCCAGATATGGTGGAACCCAAGATAAAGGTGGAAGAAAATACATTTGTGGGCCAAGCAAATCAGAACACCCATCTTGATTCCAATTGCAACAGTTCTGGCAATTTTACAGAAGATTGTGATGCCACTCCAGCTTCTTTTCCAGAAGATTTTGAGATTCCTGAACCAGAATTTTACAATTTTGATTCTGAGAAATCCCCTGACAGATTTCAGATAGACCAGATCTGGGCATTGTACAGTGATGAGGATGGATTGCCAAAGTACTATGGTCAGATAAAGAAAATCGATTCCCTTCCGGAGTTTAAATTGCATGTAAAATGGCTTGTTATGTGTTCACCACCAAAAGACATGATTCGTTGGCTTGACAAAAAGATGCCTGTTTGTTGCGGAAAGTTTAAACTGCAAAAGGGTAAATCTGAAAAATATAATGCAACCAAGTCCTTTTCACATCAATTAAGAGCTGAACTTGTGGGCAAGAATGTATATTCCATCATTCCTAGGAAAGGTGAGGTTTGGGCATTATATAAGGACTGGAGTGCTAGAATGACATGTTCTGACTTGGAGAACTGTGAATATGATATGGTAGAAGTTGTTGAGCAAAATGACTTGTGGATATCAGTTTTGGTTTTAGAGCTTGTGGATGGTTTTAAGTCTGTTTTCAAGGCTCAAATGAAAGGACAATCGGCTGTAAGTATGAAGATATCTCGGCCTGAGATGCTTAGATTCTCCCATCAAATTCCTGCTTTTCGGCTGACAGAAGAAAGAGGTGGGAGCCTACGAGGGTTCTGGGAGCTTGATCCGGCAGCATTGCCAGTTCTTCTCCTTTGTTCTACTTGATGTGGCAGTTTGATGTTCTCTCATAGAAGTTGTACATTAACGTCATATGTGCAGTGCCTCACAAGCCTGATGACTCTGCTCCGATTTTTGTTTGAAGCACTGGGATAAACCAAAAATGTATTGAGGTCAGTAGGTTGTGTATATTGCCTCTTTGACAAGGGCGGGAGTTTTCGAATTGAAGGATTTTGGGTCTCCTTCAATTTGCATCGGATAGAACAGGTGGCTTTACTAGTTTAATGTAGCAATCCTTTTTTCTAGATTGATCCTATATGCAACTGAAAGACAAAATTAGTGTTTGTTTTTTTGGTACTTTTGAGCCATCTCATGCAATGAGTGATAATTATTGATGGAGCATAGTCACATACTAAATCAAACACTAGTATATATCTAGTTTCTTCTTTAATAGATGCTTCTATCTGCATTTTCAGTTTTTATTGTTTGTTTCTTGTATTAGCTAAAAAAACCTTACGCTGTATTTGTGGTTTCACTTTTGGCAACTCCTTCTGTTGTCACTGAGACCATCGTTGCCTCTTTCAGTTGTGATGAATGGTTGGCTTACCTTACAGTCGTACAGAACTCAGAAGTGTGATTAACTATCGCTTCTACAGATTAGCCATTGCTTTTGAGGGACGTAATCCTTGCCAGAGGTGGTGAGGGTTTGGACCCAATGATGATGGGCAGGTAGTGTCTTCCTGTACCATGGAAGGCCGTCAGGTACACTATTTGAATCCTGGACTTTTTGGATTTTTTTCGCTGTGCAAGAAGCCGGGGGTTTCTTGTTGGAAGTGGAAAATTTGAGTTTTGTTTACGTTCCTCATCTCTCTTTGGTTAATGGGTTTATCAGAAGACTCAGTTCTTTCTCTTAATCTGGTAAGCCATTGGACAAGGAAATTGAAAAATGATGGCGGAGAAAGAAGAGATCCACGCTTTTTCCAGCATCTGAATGGTGAGATTTATTTGTTAATGATTTCTGAAAATTTCTGGCAGATTTACAGTCAACTCTGGAGTATGTTTAGTTCATATCAATCTATTTTCTGATGTTTGAAGGTGGATCTTATGAGACCTAGGCCATGGATGGTCTCTGAAACTTCCTATTTTGGATATGCAAGTCATTAGTGAATGCCCCAAAAGAAAAGAGATAAAATCAAGTAAAAAGATTCAACCCCTTGCGCCCCGATTGGATGACGGTAATATTGATTGGGATAAAAATCTCATTACTAAATCTTACATTACCATGTTTAGATAGTCAATTATTCAATAATCTAATTCGGGAATAAGATTATTACTGTAATTCAATTCTCAATAATGGTGGGTATCTTAAATTTATAGTCAATGGTGGTAATCTCATATTGATTAGATATTCAATAAAGGAATAACAATTTCAAAATGAAGTTCTTTCCTAAAGTTAATTTATTTCAAAAATTAAGTTCTCCTTCTAAAATAAATATTATTTTTAAAATTAACTCAATTCCTAAAATAATTAGGCAATGATATTAATTTGTACTCTAGATTATTTGTAATAACCAAACACTAAATATGACCTTATTATGGTAATTAAAACCTGAATATCTCATTATTATGATAGTAGAAGTGCCTTTTTTTTTTTTTTTTAACAAAATAGATATGCAAATAGATCACTATACATATTTATTAATATTTTTTTTCTCTTCAATACCACACAACTATATGTAAAAGATCACATTGCACTTAAGCGTCGAAGTTAAAGTCTCACGATGTGTTTTGAGCGCTGAACAGTAAGTTTAGTTTTACTAAACCGATAAAGCTGTGGATATTCGAACTAAAATATTGAAAGAGAAAATCTGTATTCTTATCCAAACGTAGGGGTGCAACCCTAACCTAGCCCAACCTTAACTACATAATTTTCAACCCTAACCTTAACCCTAACCCTACCCTTACCCCTACCTCAATCCAAAGTACTCAACCTGAGTACTGTCTGAGTTTAATTTAGGCGGACTTGTGTTTAATTCAGGTTATTTAATTCAGGTTGATTTCGGATTGAAAATCGGATTGAGCTTTAATTAATTAATTCGGGTTGATTTTTGAAATATAGATTTAATTTTTTTAAATGTAGATATAATTTTTACATGTGATTTGAGATGAGGGGCGAGATACAGACGAAGAGAAAGGGAGTGAGAGAAAGAAAATTGACGAGTGAGAGAAGAAACTGACATAATCTAGGTCCTTTACTTAGCCGGGGGGAAAATGTCATTCGCCTTTCTGGGGGCATCAAAAGTCTCTGAAACTAAAATTCAATTTTTATATGAGATATAGTTATATGATTTGGCATATAATCAACGAGGGCATTTGGTCTAGTGGTATGATTCTCGCTTTGGGTGCGAGAGGTCCCGAGTTCGATTCTCGGAATGCCCCATTTTACCCTTTTTTTTTTACTCTTATATTTAAGAAATCAGAAGAGAATGAGAAAGACAACCGAGAAAAGAAAGAAAAGTAATGATCATAGGATAGCTAATAGGGGGCAAAAAAAAAGAAGAAATTGGCATTCACCAGTATTTCAATAATGACTCCCGAAACTCAAAATGTTTGTAAAGATTGATCAAGGTGTATTGACCGAAGAATGGATTCAACCATACTGATAATTTTCTCTTTTGTCTTGCTAGATTACGTATTCTAGTTTCTTAATTTTTGTCTTTAATTCTTCATACGATAGTTTTGAGTTGATAGGAATTTGAATGATTTATATGAGCTCGAAATTACAAGACTTGAAAACGGTACAACACAATTTAATTGTTAGTTTTATATCAAAATCAATTTTAAAAATAAAAATCGGTGGTTACTGCACAAAAAAAAAAAAAAAAACACTTTACAATGGACATTATCAGAAGCTACTCTGATTCAAGATATCATCTTATCTTTGCTCATTAGTGTCAATCATGCGTACATCTTTCTGAATGGGAACGACGTTCTTGCGTTTAGAGAGAGAGAGAGAGAGTAAAAAAGAAAGAAAGGGGCATTCCGAGAATTGAACTCGGGACCTCTCGCACCCTAAGCGAGAATCATACCACTAGACCAAATGCCCGGTTGTTGTAGAAGGCTCTTTTTTAAATAAATATCTTAGATTCTAAGTATAGAACATTCCCTCCCCCCTTCTTTTCTCTTCTTTCATATGGAAATGAGGACAAGGAGAGAGATTTTATACAATTGTGTCCTGTCAGCCAACATATCAGTCTATCAGATATCAAGATCCAGATCCAATTGTGTTAGAAATGTCATGCTAAAATTATGTGACTTTGCTTATTGGGTATGCCTATTGTGCTAAGCTTATCAAGCCTCAATAAGGATATAAAAGTGAAAGGGGAATGTAGAAGGAGAGATACACTAAAATTAATTTTAAGTGAAATAGTAGAGAAAAAAATAATATTTTTTTGTTTAATAGAAAACATGGCAATTTGATAGAGCATAAAATCAACAAATAATTCATGTAACTAACCTCAAAACATATTTGGATAACGCTTTATTGATTATAGTAATTACAACTGAAAAGAAACATGTTGTACTAGGTAACTGAAATCTTACGAGGTTAGTTAGTTTTATTAAACCTCCCCTCTCTCTCATAGAATTTAAGAAAATTTATTAAGTTGCGTACCTTATCATTTGGTTTGCAATACTATAGTTTGTGTGATAAACTAAATGAATTCGTAGGTTTATGTATGTATTTTTGGGCGTGTTTTGAGCTCTAGGAAAACTTTTTAAATAAATCTAAATTTCAAATAACAAACCCCCAACGTACTTATGAATACTAAATATGTGTGATTTAATTAATAAAGTAAAAAATGACCATTATTCTCATCACCATCACTATATCGTAGTCATTATTGTCACTGTTACAACCACCAATTCCCATCACACAATCACGACAACTTAACCACATCTCTATTTAACACGATCCCAACTACTGCGGTGTAAGTAGTTAAGTGGTGCAGATAGTGTTGGGGGATGATGATGATAGTGGTAATGGTTAGTGACAATTTTGGGGAGGTGGCGGTGGGGGTGGTGATGGTGGTGGTGGTGGTGGTGGGATGGAGTAGTAAAAGTGAAATGATATATTAGTAATTTTTAAATTAAAAATTGAAAATTGCACTCTTTTTATTCTTTATTGATTATATATTATTAAAATATTATTTCGATATATTAAAAAAAAATAAAATTCGTAACAAGGTTTACACTTAGAACAATGAAATATAAATTCGTGACCTTAAAATTATACAACGGGACCAATTCAAATTCACCATCTATTTAACATTACAGTAAATTTATTTTAATTAATAAAATTAATAAATTACATTAAAATAGGCTTTTCTGCCTAATACCACCTTCGAGGTCACAGTAGCGGAGATTGGGGCCCAATTTTCCCTCCAGAAACCCAACCGTAATCTCTGTACGTCTCCAAGTTTTTCCTCCACTTCGCAAACCCTAACACTCGCTTACGGGAATGACGCCCACACTCTCTTCGACTCCGCTGTACTGCCTGGTCTCTCCATTCGATTTTGATTCATCCAATGTCATTTCCTAAAATTTATGTGATTTTATTTGTGTATGTACACATGATAGCATTAGTGATCATTGTTTAATTATAAGTCTCTGCTCTTTAGGGTTTGATTTTTAGTTTTTATTTGATTTTTTGGACTGCAGATGAGCTAAATATGGGTTCGCCCGGGGATGATGACGATAAGATGGAACCCATAGAGAGGAATTCAGCTGTGGACATAAGCGATGACGAGACTCAGCCTTTTGACAGTCAATTTTCTCCCACTTGGTTGTCTGGTAATTGCTACTTCTGTTCTTGTAATCTATGTTGTTTATGTTGAGGATGCCCCTTCATGTTAAGTTTTAAGAAATTTTCTATATCAGGTTTTCGAGAGCGAACAAAGACGTTTTGTCCAATTCGAGCAAAATTGTGGTATTTAGAAGAATGAGTTTGTTGTTTCACTGAAAAATCCAAAGTATTGAGCTTTTTCTTTTTCCTTTTTCATTTCATGAAAAATTAGATCCATGAAATTGATGAAGATTGAATTTTGCTTGATTTTTAAGCAGATAATAGTAGTCGTGGTTGTTTTATTAATACCTATAACCATTGATGGAGTGAAAAGTTATATTTCGTGTACATTCAGGTTTGATTTTGGGGTTAATTAATTTTTACTCTTCATGGTTTCGGTTAGAAATACCTTACCTACTTGATGTTTAAAATTATGTACTAAAGTGAAGTACCTTAATAACCCTGTTTTAAAATCAAATTTTTTGTCTGATTTACTCTTAAATCATAAAACTAATGGAACATGACAACAAACAAACACATTTTAATCAAGCATGTCGAGTCTCTTTTTCCCTCAAGTAACTGCAAGGTTTTGATCCGAGCCCTAAAATTACTTATATTTTTCTTACATGTTTTTTGATTTGGGATCGATGCCCTACCTATTTGGGTATTATACCATATATTATGAAACAATAGAAACAAAACCTACAACATGTTTTGGGTGTGTGAAGCACATTCTCCGTTAACTTGGATGATAAAAGTAACAATTTTACTTTTATACATGACTAAAAGGGGGTAATGTGCATAATTTTAAACGTCAAGTAGGTAAGATACTTCTAGTCGAAATTACATGGAGGTAAAAAGCAATTAACCCTTGATTTTATAAGATAATTGAGTGACCTCTATACATTTTGTGCCAATGTAATATAGCAATATGGTTGTATGGGCTTACGGTCATGTTTAAGCTTTTTACAGCCAGGAAACTAAGAAAGTTTGAATTTCTATGCTGGCCACTAAATTAATAGAGATAAATGCCGAGGAATGTTGAATTTGTGATGAAAAATATGAGAGTAGGTGATAAATAGTTCTATTTTCTTATAGTGCAGTAAACAAAATAAACAAAATTGAAAAGTATGAGGCATATTAAAAGGAAACAATTGTACACGGGTTCAATCAAGTTGCACTGATAACAGAAAGAAGAAAAAGAAAAAATGCTGGTTTGATCAAGTTTTAATTTTCAAGCAAGTACAATATATATTGCTGGACCATACTCTTTTTGGGTTACATTAAGTTTATGTTATAAGCTTATCCATTCTTGATATATAAATCAGATGGGGACAAAGGTGAGGATGAGCTACAATGTCTTCAAAGTACTGTGCCCTTTGATGATCATGTTCCACTTGAAGATGTGTTTGAGACCCAGGTGTTGAACCTTGGCGGTGAGACCCCAGTGTTGAACTTTGGTGGTGAGACCCAAGTGATGGATGATCCGAATTGTGAGGAAAATATTTGCACCCAGTTGGTAGATGTATGTGATACTGAAGTTGTCATTGGCAGCAATGGCGAAGGAACTGAAATTTTAGGTGATACTGAGGAGTTGTCTGATGGCGATTCTCTGAAAAGAGGTGGCAATCATCCATTGGACCAGGAGAACATGCAGGCTCTTTGCAAGCGAGTTGATGACCAATCTAAAGAAGAATCAGATGATTTAAGTAATGAAAAGTGCAGTTCAGGTTAGTTAATCGCACTTGACCTAATTGGAGTGCAGTTTTGGTTAAATTAGGTTAATATTGTTTGATGTGCTACTCTGGTTCATTTTTTACGATGCAAAACTATGTCTGGATTGTGGAAATTTATTAAAAATATGAAACTAAACATATGATTTGGCTAAATGAATTTTGTTTTTCCAGTTGGTTCATCTTAGTGAGGCATTTAAAAAACATCTTAGTTAGTGGGATCTCTTTTTTTCCACCAAGTGTTGCTTACTGTATGCACATTACAATCGTGATATTTCTTATGTGTGTATTTATAAATACTCTTATTTTTCGTACATGGAGCTGATTTTTATGTTTCATCCGGCTAACTTCACCAAGGAAAGTTTCAGGTGGATTTACTGTGATGCAAAACCTTTATGCGCACTTATCCTGTTATTTGATGTTCTGCACAGCGTACCTGAATTGTTCTCCAAATGCTGGAATCTAATTCCCTTTCCCTTTATTTTATCAGTGTGGTTGGTGGCATGTTGACTGCCTTTTGGCATTTTTGATGCTTGGAATCACAATTTTTAACTTCTTGTGTCAGGATCATTTCACAGGGATTTTACTTCAGTTCGTGCAGCATCTATACGAACATCTGGTACGGCAGCTCGCAGCATGGCTACCAGAAGAACCAACAGAGAGTCATGTTCCATTACGAGTGACAGTCAGTCTTTGAAGCAGCATAACAAGATATCTATTAGCGATTCACCTGCATGTGGGAAGGAAGTTCATTTGCTACATGCTTTGGAGGAGTACGGTGCACGAATGAAGGGATTTAGTAATGAAAACAGGTGCAATGTTAGTAGTTCAACTGTGAGGAAACTTTTTGCAGAGGATACACTTGCTGCCACCAAGGGGCCACATCAAGATGGCAGCATGAATGACACTGATGGAGTAGCAAACTTGCCTCAGTCATGCCCTTTAGAAAATGGGTTGGCAGGGTTAAGCTATGTCAATTCTCAAGAACCCGGAGAGTTATCACAAGCCAATGCACTTGACTTTGTGGATAAGTTTCTTAAGGTCAATGTCACTGATTTTGATGAAGAACTTGACTTTGGAAAGTCCACTGGGAGGAAGGCAAGGCCTGCCTCAAGTGCAAAAGGGACTCAAAGTTTGGCCAAGAGAGCTAATTTTACAAGCACAGATGGTGAAAGAGGGATTTACGAGTGGGATGATAGTCGTGAAGACGAAGGAGGGGGAGAGTTTTTTAGAAAGAAGAAGGATGCACTTTTCGATAATGGAGGCCAAAGGCGAAGATCTCTTTCCCATCCCAGGAAACGTAGGTTTCTGGACTCCAAAGGAAGCCACGTGGTGGAAGAATCAGGGAACAAGATAGAACAACTAGACATCCATGAGAAAATAATGGACTCCCTTTACTCCGATTCAAGGTTGGTGTTGCATAATGTGAAAGGGAATGGAAAGTCAAGAAAGGTAATGGAAAGAGAATCTAAAAAGACTTTAATTAAGGAGCTGGGTGAACATTTAAACGTAGGTTCTGCCGATGGAATGGTAGATACTGGAACTGCCAAGGATGTGCCAGACAAGTCAAGCATGGGTTTTGATACTCAAATGGCTGCTGAAGCTATGGAAGCGTTATGCGTTGGGTTGGTTGTGACTGATCATGATGGTTATGATGCTAATCAAGGTGCTGAAAACATGCAGAAGGGTTCTTGCAAAGGAGAAACAATTGATAGAACAAATTCAAAGCAAAATACTGTTCAGAAAAGAGAATGTTCTTATTCCAGAGTTAGCACTAGACAGTCCAAGCAAACAAAGAGGAGTGCTACCAAATTGGGTAAAGAAACCTCTATTTCACTGCTGAAAAAGCCTAAAAATTTCAGGAAGCAATGTGATGCAAAGCTAGAAAAATCTGACATGAAAAGAGTAAAGTCTGATGTTAAGAAGCGATTTGCCACCAAGAGGAGTAACAGCTTAAGCAAAGTGGTCATTGAGCAAGAAAGTGCTCTGGGAAGAATTGAGGTTGATGAGATTGATAGATGTGATGTCAATGCATCAAGAGGCCAAATGTCAGTCAAGAAACGGCCTTTGCAGGAGCAATTTGATACCTTTACATCAATAGCACGTCGAACTAGGCAGTGCATGGAGGGGAATCAATCAAAAAAGGCTGGGAATGTGTCAAATAATGTCAGAGAGGAGGTGAGCAATCCAACAGTTGCCGGAACCCTTAAAGACAAAAGAAAAAGGAGTAGAGTAGGTATGGATGCTTCCATTATGTTGAGTGTGGAAGACAAGTCTTCTGAAGTGAAACTTGTCACATTTTCTGAGCATGAACAATCTGATCCAAAGTTAAAGTGCACAACAAGTGCTGTCAACCTTGATGAATTGGACTATCCCAGAGGAAGAAGAACTCGGCAAAGGTTGTCAGCAGTTGGGAAAAATGCTAAGAAACAATCAAAGACAACGTTAAGAATGTCAGAAATTGATGCTGTAAGCGCTTCTGTTGATCTAGGCATAAAGAGGAAAACACGGTCATCTGTATGTACTGCTCCAGTTTTGCCATCCTTGGACAGACATACTGGGGAAAGATTGTTGGAGCAGAGTGTAGATAAAGGAAGATCAGGGGATGCTACAGTCAACTGTAATTTCGGTTATATAAATGAGAATGCTACTCCAAAAGATGTGGTTGAGCCACCAACGTCTAAGCATTCTAATGGGAGGAGTAATGCTGATACGCCATATGTAAAAGGTGCAGAAGCAAATGCCTTGTTGAAAGCATCGCCAAAAGAGAGATGTGAACTATCTGCTTCAGCATGTACTACTCCTGTTAACTGTAGGACTCCTATAAATGCAGGTTCGCCTATTTGTATGGGAGGTGAATATCTTAAACAGTCATGCAGGAAGAACCTCTCCAGATCATCCCTTAGTAAAGAGATTAATACCACTGGAATGGAACTTACGTCTGCGCTGAACTATTCAAGGAGAAGGAGAGATGTCACTAATGTTCGAGTCTTGTTCAGCCAGCACTTGGATGGGGATACGACCAGGCAGCAAAAAAAGGTAGTCATCTGTGGCATGTGCTGCTTATTTTGCTGATGCAAGCAAGTTCAAACTTTTAACTGTCCATTGTCTAATCTTACTCTTGTCTCAGATTTTGTCTCGGCTGAGGGCTTCAGTAGCGTCATCTATTTCCGATGCCACGCACTTCGTAACTGATAAATTCGTGCGTACAAGGAATATGTTGGAAGCTATTGCTTCTGGCAAGCCAGTGGTGACTCACTTATGGCTTGAGAGCTGTGGGCAAGCTAGCTGTTTCGTTGATGAGAGAAATTACATTCTGAGAGATGCCAAGAAGGAAACGGAGTGCGGTTTTAGTATGCCAGTTTCATTGGCACGTGCATGCGAACATCCCCTTCTACAGGTAATTACTCGGTTTTGTTTGTCGAATCAGATGCAATGCATGTCTGACTCCTTTACAAAGAATATCATCTTGCAGGGGCAAAGAGTCTTGATCACGCCAAATACAAAGCCTGGCAAAGAAATATTAGCAAGCTTGGTCAAGGCAGTTCAGGGTGTGGTGTGTAGTTCTCCCTGATCTTTTCCTTTAGAACTAAGCCATAGAAACTTATTGTATATAGAATTTGGTTTGGTTCACTTGATAGTTGAGTCATTGGTATGATTTTAGTTCTTTGGCTATCATTGCTGACATCTGTGGATGGTATGGATTACCATGAGAGAGTGGAATAGATACTGCTTGGACTTTTCACACTCTCTCCCTCCCTCACAAATACGTCACTTTGTTTTTCTAGTTGATTTACTTCCTGCTATCCCTTTGGTATATGTATTACTTCTGGAATCTGACTTATGGAGCGAGGATGTCTAATAGAAGTTTATATGTTCAAAGTTTCCCATCAAGGCATGCTTTGACTTGCTGCTATCTCATTGGTAACTGTTAGATCTCTTTCCCTTGGGATGTCCCCCTTGAGGGTGGAGTTGGTTGCAGTTTTGGATTCAATTTTGTCATTTTTCTCCATTCTAAATTACACTTCCTATAGGTGATGTATTTACTTTCTCAACTCTGAAGTACATGTATATTATTTAATCTTTCGAACTCAATCATGTAATGCTCATCAGGCGGTACAGAGAATTGGCAGATCTGCATTGAAGGATGACAGAATTCCTGTTGACCTGTTGGTTTTATCTTGTGAAGAAGATTATACAAGCTGCCTACCTTTTCTTGAAAAAGGTTAAAATAAATATACTACATTGTGTCCTTGAAGTATTAGTAGAAAATGTGGAATCTGAATATAATTTTGGAATATCAATTTATATCTGCAGGAGCAGCAGTCTACGGTTCAGAGCTGCTACTTAGTGGAATAGTCACTCAGAAGCTGGAGTATGAAAGGTTGGTTCCTTTGTTGTGATGAGTGCATAGAGTTCCTGTGAAATTGAATGTTCACTTCAGAATGGAAAGATGTTTTGCCATTTAACTGTCAATATTGTGTGCTGGGGGTTGGAATTATGAATGAGTTGCTCAAAATTTTCTCAATCAGTCACCTTATTTTTATTTGTAAGTGGCCAAAATTGGAAATGAAATGGTCTTAATCTCGTCCCCAGGTTCATTCCTAGGTTCTTAGTGTGACCCACTGACCGTCCATTGGCTTCCAGATTAAACCATACTGATCTAAATTGATGCCAAAGATTGAAGTGTGCAATCATGCCTTCAGAGGTGAATCATTTGTGCTTCCTTTTCTAACATAGTTGCATATGTCTGATTGCAGACATCGTCTCTTTACGGATATTGTCAAGAGAACCCGTTCAACATTATGGCTGAAAAATGATGGTAATCAGTATCTTCCTGTGAATAGATCCAAATGAGAATTTTTTAGCCCTGTTCTCTCCCCCCTCTTTTTTCTTTTAGGTGTCTCTCTGTAGTGTGCTAAAAGGCAGGGATCTGTTTAAATTGTGAATGTCCCTTGTCTTTTTCTCCATTTTTTCAAGAATAAAAATATGAAATTATGGGTCTTGTAAAGAACACTTCCATGTATATATTTTTCATTCCTTTCAAAGATATTGCTTCATGGCCAGTAGTGGCATCAATCAAAATTTTGGTGTTCTATACATTGGTTCGTAGACGCCTTTTTGTTTGATCAGAATACAAAGTTTCGTTGTTCATCTTGAGAGCTTCCCGTTGCTCATCTATAGGGAGAATAATGCTGGCACTACTTGTTAATGTGATGTGATTGCAATTTTTCATGATATGATGCATGAGCAATTGGAGGATTACTTTGATGACATAGTAGTGAAATCCAAGCAAAGAAGAAATTCTTCGTCAAGTCAATCAGAATTCATTCAAGAAGAGGGGCATTAATCAATGGCTTAACCGACCCTGTGGTGTTTTCCTTATGATTCTGACTGTGGTTTACCTCAGATTAGACCAATTCTCCTCTAGCTGTTCAACAAGCTCGGTCTAACTTGACTTTGACCGTTTCCTAATTGCTAGTCAATGAAAACCCTTAAGATCCTTAGCCCTATCTTTTACTGGTTGGTTTCTTCACAGTGACTACTCCTTGGTGGAAGTTGTTTTTCGACCCGATCTCACTTGAAGAAAGAGAGCAACATTTTTTTTAATGAAATTCTGATGGCTGATATAACTGTCCAAAGATCATATTGGCGATTCATTCTAGGAACTTCTTCATACCATGAAATCTCTATATTTTGTTTAAACTGATCACTTTTCATGCAATGCACACAAGAGTTGAGAAGTCATTTGGTTGAAGCACAGGGCAATCTCTTTCATGTCAATGTAACGAATAAGTGTAGAAGAAGAGTAACCATCTTGCTTGTGAAAAGAATCATAACTATAAGAGCCACATACCATCCTGAGGAGTCATATTATATTTGTACTGCAGTGGTATTATGCTTCACCTCAATTTCTTCTTGGTACGAGTACCCTAGCCCTCCATCTTGGGATTTTTTTTTTGGTTCATTGGGCAGAGGTGTTCAAATCAGCTTATGCGCATCTCAACTAATTCCTTTCTCAATCTAGTTGGTCAAAGAAAGACCATGCAAGTTGAGATTAAAGTATTCATAAGGATAAATTTCTCATAACCTGATCTCAAGACTGGTCTCGAGAGGTTGTCAAGGTGGTACGATTTTCTGATATAGGCATTAATTTGACTTGCAGATTAGAGTTTTTGGGACATTCCTGCTCTATACCTAACCTCTTTTGATGCAAGCACAGAATTGATGTTGATAGTACTTTCCACTTTTATTTTGTTGTAATTTTTATGTTATAATGATATCTCAAGTGTACAAAATGAGACCCTAAAAATGAGCACAGAGGAATAATGTTTACATTTATGATTTGACAAAAGAGTTGCCCTTATTAAGACACAAGCACAACCTTTTGTGGTAGCTCCCAAGTATAAGACAAGCATCTTGTTGAGGACGACAATTTTCTTAATACGGCACGAAATTGATATGAAGCTGCTATCCGTATGAGTTCAATTATGATGGCATCTAGTTGTGATCTAACTGATCTGTCAAACTCGTTTAATAAATGGATCAAATACATTACATACACTCTAAGAACCCAGCTATACTTGAGCATAACTCTACCATCCAACAATGGCCACCTATTTTTTGTGTTAATATCCTTGAGTGACAACAGCAAAATACAACACTTTCTTCACACCTTTTTCGACAAATTATTTGACAATTCTCTTTGAGATTAGATCACGAAAGCTTTCCCTCATGAATTCTCTAGTCCCGGTGTAGATAATCTATTTTTGACCAGATCGAGAGGGGGATTAATTGAGGTGCGAATAAGTTGACCCGACCCGAAACACCTCTCTAACTGCAATACTAAAAAAAAGATGGAAAGGAAAATAATGCCAAACATATAGCAAAATCATCTATTACAATGATGAAAAACATGCAATATTGAAATACTACATTCTCATTTCCTTTTCTCCCTAACCATTGCTTCTCTGTTCCTACAATTTACAACACATATTTCAGGTGGATAGGCAGCACATATTGGTAGCAGTTCTGTCATACTGGGTTAGGATTTTGGGAAACTTGAACTCGCCAGATGAAATATCGAATATACAGTGAGTTGAGACCTATAGCCACTCCAAATCCAAAAACTGCTGATAGAATTATTGCATAGATTGCATGCAATCGAAGCTGCCAGAAAGAATTAGACATTTCAAGACTTTAGTCACCAAAAGAAGTACCAACGATCCAATAATAACAGAGCGTAAATTGGTCCGGACATCCCTGACAGTTGAAAAAAAAAAAAAGGATCCAATAACAACAATTGAAACACTTCCAACAAATGCAGAGTGGAACGCATACACGACCATTAGGCTATGCAAGCCTGTTTATTCATGGGTGTACCCACGCATACACACACTTCACAAGCACGTATATATAAAGCCACTTCTTAATCGTTTCATTAATATGATGCTTACAACATTTTGCTGTTGACAGATGCTCTCCGATACAAGCATACTAACTCGCAAAACAGATACACATATTCATTTTTAGATAAAAGGGTGCAAAAGCAGATGAATGCAAATAAATAGTTTGCATATGCACCAAGTGGTATCTCTGTGTAGTTATTATAAAAAGCAAGTGTTTGATTGTTTTATATATGATCATAAAATTGTCAAAAAGAATCTTACTGTAGTATAGAATAAGTGGAGAGCCGTTGCCACAAGTGTAAATTCAACAGCCGCGTATGTCCATAGGTACTCCTTGATTGCTGCATATGAAACATGCTCAATTCAAATACAGCCATGCCTCATAAATATAAAGTAGTTCAAATTTTGGGGGCACAGATGTACCTAGGATGACTGCGAAAATGGAAGACAACATGCCCAATGTAAAAGAGAATGGTGCAACAATCCCAATCACTTGAGTTTTCATGCCATGGACCTACAAGTCATCGTACAAATATGCAGATTAAAAGTTGGTACCAGTTATATTACTTCCCTACTTGATGGATATTGCTTTGTTATTCATAAAGTCCCCTGATAGCTGAAGTACTTGCTTAAACCATGAAAAAGGAAAAACAATAACTATTATGTACTTAAAGACATGTAAATGCTTAGAAAATCTCAATGTTTAGAAATTCTTGACCCAGATTCTGTCAGTCTATGAGGAAGGGGCTTTATGTAACGCCCCGATTTTTTTTCATTCTTTTCGGAGACGTTAATTGATATAAAAACACCCAAATAAAAATAACAGAGCACTAATTGTCCCAATAAAATTTTATTTATCAAAATTATCTCCCAATATAAATAAATCTGTCAATATAAATAAATCTCTCAACAGGATTAAAACATCAATTACATCGACATCTCCTCGTCTTTAATACTCTGATTATCTCGTTCCGATCTTTTCTCTAAAATCAACCTAAAAATATTAAATAAAGCGGGGAAGTATACAATATGACGAGGAAAAATATGCTAAAGGACATTGAATAACAAATAATCGAGTATCACAAAGTATCTCAATCAACAGATACAAGTAGCATATTTGCATATCAAACGTCATGCAGAATCTTAAAACCGATCTGACACCTCACCAATCATCCCACCTCAACCCGATCCCACGGGTGTCTTGGTTGGCGATGCACCGGCTATTGGCTGTCACGATCCCGTCTCAATATCCGCAGAACACGATTAATGAGATCAAGAACACGATCAATGAGATCAAAATATTCAATCGAAATTCCAAAATAATGATAGCACAAGTTGAAATACAAATCAAAGGATAATCAAAGAAATACTCTTTGCAAAGAGATTTAAAGAGAGCATATTGTATACCACCCCGTACCTCAGAATCATTATTTGAATTCGATAACTCTGATTTTCGTTTCATTCTTCTTATTTTCGGGTAGCCCTCTACTTCCCATTTTCCTCTTCTTTGTTTCTACCAGACAACTCCCCGTCTGTCTCTCGGTTTATCTTTCAAGACCTCCTCCACTTTCTTTTATTTTTGGCTATCTTTATATGCTAGGAAGGTGGGACGTCTTTTGCCAAATTAATTGGCAAGTGTTAAAAATATCTTTCCACGACTTTTTCTACAATATATTCAATGCTATCTGAAATCCCATTTTTTTATTTTTCTCTCTCTTTCTTTGTCTTGTCTCTCTTTTTTTTTTCAAAGTCTTCACGTGGGTGAAGACCAAAGAAGTATAAATGTTAAGATATTTATACTTTACTCCCTTTTATTTCACTTATTATATATATCAACCACAAAACTTAACTATTTCTTATACTTTCACATCAAAACTCATAATATTTTACACTTAAACTACTTCTGAAAATTTGGGATCTCACACTTTAAGCCACCATACCATGTGTGTGAAAGGAACCATGCAGGAAGTATCAAGTGAAAAAGGAATTTTAAAGCAAAGCTTGATGGTAATTCAATAACAATTAAAGAAAAATCCAAGAGATATTTTGGAGCTTTCGACAGTATGCTAGGAGGTCACTGCTTTGGGGTGGCAATGCAGGACTCTTCGGGGCAAGCCAGTGCAGAATGGCTCACGGGAGAGCAACTTTAGCATGCAAAATGTTTTTTTTACAGCCGTATATGTAATGGAAAGATGTCTCAAATGTCTCCCAAGGACAGCATGTTGTAAAAAACCCTAGCTTGAACAGGTAATCTTCTATCCTCCCCCCCCACAACACACACAAAAAAAAGGGTCTGCATTGTGGTGTGAAGCAGCTAAAACCAGGTATTTGAGTCATCATCTAAATCATAAATAAAACCAATTTCATTTCTGTTTTCATAATCATAAATGCAGTTTTCTTTTTTGTTTCATAGATAAAGATGGAACCAACATACAAGTTTTATAGCCTGCAAAAATGACCAAATTACTATTTCCACATTCATAGCAAGATAGCTTACCAGTAGCTGCTCCAGTAAGAAGAAGTAGCATAGTGTGCTAATCAAGACAAGCACCACAATGTCTTGCCAGCCACTGCAAAAATCGTGTATAAAAATATCCATCAAATTAAAGAAAACTGCAAAAGAAGATCACACCCCCACCACATAAAAAAGCAAATCCAATAGCATTATTGGTCAAATAATTATATAAATTCAAAATCTTGGATTTGGTTTGTTGTCAATTTGCTAACAGCAAGGTTTAATTGTAAATTCTGAATTGCTAAAACATTTTACCCAGTTGAGGCTAATGTTATCCTGTTGAATCTGAGTAATATAGAAAGACAGATTCCGATGAATCAGCAGTTAGAAGATCGATGATTACTCAATTTTCAGCTCAACGCACTAGCAAAGGGGTGAAGTTTGGTAGAACTGGCTATATACAGTGTGAATATTGGAAGTCTGTAATTACAAAGTTAACTAGTCTAGATACGTCAAACCCAAATGCTTTGAATGGTATTTTAGATCTTGAATTCATTTACCTTATTGTTTGTGAATTTGAACTCTCTTGATTATGTTCTGGTATGTCATCTCCTTGGCTGGTACTTGGCATTCGAAGCAAAGTTACAGGTAAATTTTCAACTTCTTGCCCACAGACATCACAGGTTTTGTTTCCTTTCATGCTAAACCACTTAACTGCACATTCTTCATGTACGAGTCTGAGGGCACCCTTACAGCTGCATTCCATCTTGAGGGTATTTCGTTCTTCACATACATCATAACAGATCCTGCAAACTACTTCCTCTTCCGGAATCTCCTGATTATCATTTTCTACTGGAGCGGGAGGTATTTGATCTGACTTATAAAAAATAAGAATTTCGAAAAATATTGATAAACAGAAGACTATAAGACATAAGCAGATCAATATCCAATTTATTATGTATTATTCTGTAAGTGTTTTGATACTGCAAAGTGAAAACCTATGGCCTACAATTTGATCTTTTTGTTTATGGACCACAGAGGTAACAGAAAACATCTGAACTGCAAGTCTAAATCGGTCACATAGCCACATATCCTTGATTTGGTGGATCAAAAGTAGTTAAAACATCGAATTTTTTTATTCATGAAGCTTATAACAAAATAAAGTGTGCACAGATTTTGATAATAGTAATAACTTCATTTAGTTTCATTTCTCTAAGCTATAAGAAGTAACAACATTGAGCACTCATGTGGGATTCATTTAAGTTGAGACATAGAACAAGGCTTCCACCTATAATGGAGTCTAGGAACCGTCAGTGCTAGGCAACCTTACCCCCCATCTTGGAGAGGCTGAATCTCAGACTCGAACCTGTTCTGATTGTTTGGGCAGATGAGCACTTGCCATCGCAACCGGTCCAACCAAAGAAATTATATAGTGTAGTTCAACTGCAGATGATGTAATGGTGAAGCAACACAGAAAAATAGAAAACTGCTTCATCAAAAGGTTTGCCAAAGATTCCAAAAGTTCGATATCGTAACCTAGAGAAGGAATTCAAATGGCACAATACGTGTGCAAGGTACATACCCTCAGCGAGGTTTGTTTCGCGACGATGCTGGCTACCAGCACCAGCAGCAAAAGGTGTCGATCTTACAATAACAAAATTGCGACCAGGAGCGGAGAGGGACCTTGAAACAGTAGCTTCAGTTACCCTTTCCTGCAATTAATAAACCACAACTAAGTGTTACTCCATAACATCTATAGGCCATAGATACCAAACACCCCCCCCCCTTCCCTTCCCCCCCAAAAAAAAAAATAAATAAAAAAAAAAAACCCAAAAAAAGAAAGCAGAGGAAACAAAATTGGGGCTGTTCAAATTTGAGACGTTTTAGCTAGTCTGATACTGTTTATTTGACATTCAAAGCCATAATCAGGAGTAGGCAACAAGCCTGCTTATACGAAAAGTAATAGCACAACATAGCGATTACCATTTAATTTTCGTAGTTTTTTAACTTCCAAAGAATGCTATCAGATAAAATAGTCGATTCTTTAAGGTCCACTTGTTCTGATGGACATAATTTGAGAACAGCCTCAATAATATCTCATCATGATTGCAATGCTGGTAAGCTATATATACTTCGGGAGTGCCTAAAATCAGGTATTGAGGCATTTATGACATGCTAATACTTCAAGAATAAAACAAGAGAGACAACAACATTTGTTATGGAAGTCTAGCATTTAGAGGGATGGCATTGTATATTGTGAATTTTCCAGTTAGCTTCTAGTCCAAATGTGAGAGAAGTACGAAAAAAATGTGGAGAGGCTATGGAACTTGCACTTTTTAAGTGTGAGTTTTGTAGTTCTCGTTGATTTAAAAAAAAAAAAGTACTAATTCTTCAAAAAAAAAAAAATTCTTAAGATTGACTTCCAAGTGACACCCAGAGCAGTCAGAATGAGGAAAACTACTTTTATACCTCGTAAACCAGAACTTACAGTTGATTTTTTCTGTTCACCGAATGTCCTTGCTGAGGCAGATGTAGAAACTGAAGGGGACGAGTTCAATGCAGGTCTCACAGGAAGAGAGGTACACCTTTTCCATGATAAGGAGGACATGAAGTTGGCCAAAACAGGACTTTCAGGAGCCATCTTGGGGTCTGAGTTAAGAAGAGAGCCTCTTTCAACATCAAATGTAGTAGTTTTCTTCTTGAAGCTTATTCCGACATGAAGTAAGCCACCGGGTGATAAACTTCCATCGAAGACTCCTGGAGACTGGAGTAAACCCTTTCCACTGCAGCTACTTCCAATACCTATGGGTCTAGAAGGAATTTGGAAGGACAGATTGGAGTGCCGTGCAGTTGGTCCTGAATTTATGACATCATTAGCGGACTCCCGGTTTTGGGGACCAGCCTGCTTATGTAACATACAATGGTCATCAAGTAACTTAATCCTTTAACTTATCAGAAAAATAAAAATATAGGAATATCGGTTGTAAAAGACTGTTTATTTCAACTAACTGATGTGGAATTATCCTACACAAATGAAGTAGATGAGATACAAATGTCCCTAATGTGTTTTGAGTCAAAACACATCAGGGAGGGATTACCAGAAAAATAAATTACCAGTCTTGGGATCTCAGGTTCCTTTTTTGAGGTGTTTCCATGTGAATTATATAGATCATGCCAGTTTAAATGCAACTCACAGCTAAATAAAAGTCCTTGACCAAGGACATATTTAGTATAATAGCAATAAACTCCATAAAATATTTATATCTTTATAGTGCATACCTCTCTGGATGAATATCATATTCATCTATTATAAGAAAGAGAGACCCTAAACACATTCTATGAACTCCATCTATTGGCCCCTTTCTCTCCTTTTATAGAACACCAACCATTAAGCTGTGGGAGAAATCACCATAAGGCCGAACATTCTGGTCCAGAGTGAACTGTCTATAGTTGCTCTGATACCTAGCAAGTCTAGGGTAAAATGCAATGATTTTTTTTGAAATTAAAACAGACCATAATCTAATTACTTTTTTTCTTTTTTTTGGTATTATTGAATTGACTGAACAGTCTCGCGACGTTCTAAACCCAGTTTACGTATGGGGAAGACAGCTCCCTCGAGGGGCTACAAGTGCACTTAAGATTTCTTGCTTATTGCCTGGAACAAAGTCAGTCCGTCAGGGCAGGCATACGAACGTAGGGTCTCCCACCTTTTAATATAAACAAACAAGATCCCTAGGAACGATGACCCACTCTATTCCTAGCCTTTGGTCTAATGGTACTCCTTATTGATTTAAAAAGGGTTCAACTTTCCCTTCTCCTTCCCCTTCCCCTTCCCCTTCTCCTCCCCCCCCCAAAAAAATATTCCTGACTTAAGGAAGCCCTCAGGATCTTCTCTTATCTTGTGCAAACAAACCAACCCTTGGAACATACTACAGCCCCATACCGCGAAGAGCAGACATCGATCAAAAGCACTTTCTTTCTAAAAAGTGTTTTTGGAATAAACATACTTGGTAAGTAAGTGGTGAATACAGAAGCTTTTACAGAGTGTCAGCACCATCCTTCTCACTTTATATATTCGAAAAAAGAAGAAGAAGGTGGTTGCTTGATAAACACTCAAATATGAATGAAATAAAAGCTTAGACCAAGCATCATTAACCCCAAATTAGCTCACAGTTCCAGATAATTTGATGAAAATGAACCAACAAGTCAACAATAATGACACACATTCAAACTAGGAGAAGAAAAATATAACAAAACGGCACTCATATCTGCCTATGCTTCGGCATAAAATCCTTAAACAGAGCATTTCAAGACAAAGAACACCCGAAGCTGTTCATTACTACCATTTTGTAGACACACACCAGAGAGAGAGAGAGACCTGAGGATGATCATCATCTGAAACTGCATTAGCCACTGACTGTGATGTTTGGGATGCTTCCATCTTCTTCCTCAAAAAATACAACAATCAATGACTGAACAGAGAGAGAGAGAGAGAACTCAGGGAGCTCAGACAATGAGAACAGAGGCCGGTCGTCTGGGTCTGGGTCTGGGTCTGGGTCTGTTCAAGTTTTGCTTCGAAGATGACGAGAAAAGTTCTCGTGACTCGTGACTTTAGGGGGGAGTTTGAGTGGCCCCGACTCTGGTACCGTCCCTTCTTCCCCAACCTGTCGTTTCGTAATTTGTCTCCTCCTCGCTTTGGAGAGTACATCAAAGCCACCAACAGCGCCTTAGAGCATCTCCAACGGCAATAGTTAGCTATTCAAAAGCAATATTTTTTATTTTAATTATTCATTTTTTCAATACACATTTTAATAGATTTTTTATATTTTTAATTACTCATTTTAAATATTATTTTCCATTCATTTTATATTATTTTTTTAAGAATAGTGAGAAGGAGAAAGAGAAAGAGAAAATAGAAAAAAGGAGAGGAAGAGAGAGAATATATTATAATTTTGTTTTTACATAATGTTACACTAATACTTTAAATATAGAGTAATACAGTAACAAAATGTTATTTTAAATGTTTTAAAGATAATTTGCTGGAATAAAATTTTTGGGTTAAATAACTAAAATTTAAAAATTTTATGTTTTTTAGATCATCTGTTGAAAATGCTCTTACAAAAGCTCCTTTTAATTTGATCGACATCTCTAACTGTTAAACTAAAAAATAAAAAAATTATTCAATACAAATCAAAATTAATTCTAAATTTTTTGATTGGTAAATAAAAAATTTTGGTATTATAATTTTTTTGTATAATTTTTAAAGATTATTTATAATTTTTCTAGAATTTTTGTGGTAGATCATAAAAAATTTAGAATCTGATGGGTCAGGTCCAAGGGCCCAACCCACGATGGTGAGCTTAGTTTAAATTAAAAACCAAACTTAAAGAGATCCAATAAATCTAGCTCAAAAGGATCCACGTCTGGTCAAGTTTATCAGGGTTTGAGGAACTACATCACCAAAGAGTTAACAGGGTGATCCAAAAGTCTTATCCATGTCGCTTTGGAAGTAGTCAACTATCATGTCATTCTTTCATCGAATCTTACGAAAAACGCCATAATTATCTTATCCATTGAAAAGATAGCGCTAGCTTCACTAAATTAGTCTTTTAGTTACTAAAAACTTATCTCAATCTGTTAAAGATGTGACTATAATTGTAAATCCCGCCAACACTTGGGGGACATCACATTCAATTGCACACATTGTTGTCATTCTCATCTCTATCTTATAACTTGGATCTCCCTACTCTTCCTATACTCATCGAAGTAATAAAATATCCAAATGACCCTAACTCTTCATAATGAATGTAAGTCATATTGATCGAACTACTCTAAATCTTTGTCTCACTTGAGCTACTATCTCTCTATTTAATTAATGCATTAATTATCAGTCACTTGATAGGTGGTGTATAAAACCAATTTGTGCATCATCAGAATCTATTTCAAATAACTTACAAAGTTATAACTTGATCTCAAAAACTGTAATTGAACTACATAAATTATAACATAAATTCAAAAAATTGTATTATTTTAGAATTGATCTAAATATTTTAAGAACGATTTTATCTTTTGTAAAATGTTATTAAGACCTTCTTGGAGGACCTAATCTTTGAAGTAATTTAATATAGACATTGAATTAGAAGTGATCTCCATTTAATATTGAAACTCACAACTAATTAAACTACTGATTTAAATTAAGTTTTTTATTTAGGTCTCTACGAAAAAGTTAACAAAAGGGTCATATTATAATATTTTTAATATATTAAATGTACAATATAAAATATTTAATTTTTGAAAGTGTAAAATAAAAAATTTAAAATCTTTTAGCCTATAATGTATAATTTGCCCTATCTTTTTTAACACAAAAGTTGTAAACTATGATACCCTTTCTCCTTGGGTAATAAAATGAAATCATGAATTCTAACTCAATTTTAATCCTTATTTTAATTAAAAAAAATATATATAGTTCTCTACTATCTAAGCTTTAAATATTTTAAAATAAAATAATAAATTTTACATTATTGCCAAAAATGATTTGAGAGAACTATTGGTTAAGATTTTGAAAATCATTGTAGAGATCTTTCAAAACAACTTAATGGCAGAGCTAATGTCATGATCTCCATTTGCCAAGAGTAGTGTCATTATTGTTGAGAGATACCGGCAGAGAGGCTGCCTCTCTCCATTGTCTTCTAGTTTGACAAAACCAACCTTATATGAAAGAAAAATTTAGTGTTAACTCATATCTAACGTTCGAGTTTTTCAAATTATATAAAATTTGGGTTTAATTGGTACATTTAATATATAAGTGAATATTTTCAACTTAGATTTGTGTCGAATTCAAGAGTTTATTGAACACGTGATTGAGATAATTTTTCATAGAAAAAAAAAAAAACTTAAAGCAAAATATTCAACATGCTATCATGCATGAATTGTCTCTTTCCTGTCACATATTGCAACATAATTGTATCTTTTAAGGAACCTAACAATGTGAATAAACCAAGCAAGACAAAGACCTTTTTGGAGTTTGGTCCAATCCCTTATTAAGGAGGCACAAGCTTGTCAAATTGCTTTCATTATACACATTGATGCATGTAAACGCATGGTCCTTCCATGTTGATGTAAAGAGCCAACCACATACATATATTAAAGGGGAAACTTCGATAACAATGGACATTATTTGCTTGTAAATATGGTTGAAAATATTGGTCGATATTAATATGAATTGGTTGAGTCATATTTGACTCATTACATTTCGAAACGATACTATTACACGATACGCATAAATCTCGAATCTCGCACGACTCGATCGAATTGTCCGAGTTGTATTGGAGTCAATCCCGAGTTGTTGAGATATCATCACTAAATTGGCCAATATGGTTCTACTACACCGCAGTATGACTTGAATCTCTCGTCATGTTTAACATTTTCTTTCGGTTGTATCGCCTAATACCGGGACGCAACGTCGCAATTAATGTGTCTTAAAACTCTACGAATCTATAGTCGATATCGTGACCTTAAACCATGCTTGTAAAAGTTTTTTGTTCTTGTATTCGGTTAATGAATGACATTTTGGGGTTGAAAGGATTACTAGGGTATGCTTTATCTACACTATTGAACCAGAGGCACCCCTAGACATCCCTGATCGATGAATAAAAAAAAAAGGTGGCCGCTGGCCAAGGCCACAGTTGTTTTAAAAATGCAATCCAGGGTCGGGTTTGATAAATAAAAGTATTCCAACATTTACACTTTCTTCGAACTCAGAATGAATTAAATTTCGTTTTGAAATAGTCGAAACGTCAAAAACGTTTTTATTTTTAAGGAAAAATTAAATGAATAACTGATTGAATATCATGTTGGGTTGAGTCCTGGTCAATAGGAGTTTGTTGCTTGCTTAGTTAATAAGTAGTTCCTACTTATTAGCTGTTGACTTAGTTTCTCCACGTCTTTAGATATTTGTTAGACGTGGTTGTTATTTTTCCTTGATTCCTGTTTTTGTAAGGCTATTTATATAGCCAAGTCTGATATTCAATAGATAAGTGAGTTTGCTCCCAACTTCAGTTTTGCACTAGTTCAAATTCTGTTTCAATTCAAACTTTGTTTCAACATTTGGTATCAAAGCCACTCCTTTTACTAGTGTTGTCATCATGTCTGAGAGTTCCTTTGTGCAGCCAGCAGTTCCTAAGTTTGATGGGCATTATGACCATTGGTCAATGCTAATGGAAAACTTTTTGAAGTCTAAGGAATACTGGCACTTGGTGGAGCATGGAATTCCTGCCGCAGCAGGAGAGGGTAGTGTTCTCACGGAAACTGAGAAGAAGCACATTGAGGATCAAAAGTTGAAAGATTTAAAAGCCAAAAATTATCTCTTTCAAGCTTTGGACCGTTCGGTGCTGGAAACCATTCTCAACAAGGATTCCGCAAAGAACATATGAGATTCTATGAAACTGAAATATCAAGGCACGACTCGTGTTAAGCGTGCTCAATTGCAAGCTCTACGGAAGGAGTTTGAGCTTCTCCACATGAAGCTTGGAGAATCTGTGAATGAATATTTCGGTTGTACACTTACCATCGCCAATAAGATGAAAGCAAATGGTGAGGTAAACGTTGCTGTTGTTGAAAAAATATTGAGGTCCATGACTCCTACATTTAATTATGTGGTGTGTTCTATTGAGGAATCTAAAGACATAGATACCTTAACTATTGATGAGTTGCAAAGCAGCTTACTTGTGCATGAGCAGCGCATGAGTTCCCATAATGAAGAAGAACAAGCTTTGCAAATCACTCATGGAGGCCGGAGTCAAGGACGTGGAGGTATGAGAGGAAGAGGAAGAGGGCGCGGCAGACAGAACTTTGACAAGGCCACAGTGGAGTGCTATAAATGTCACAAATTGGGGCATTTTCAATGGGAATGTCCTAGCACAGAGAAGGCAGCCAACTATGCAGAAACTCAAGAACACCTACTACTTATGGCATATGTAGAGGTGACTAAGGCCCATGGGGATGATCTCTGGTTTCTCGATTCAGGATGTAGCAATCATATGAGTGGGAAAAAGGAATATTTTGCTAATTTTGATAGTAGTTTCAAAGATAATGTGAAGCTTGGTAACAACTCCAGTCTAGCTGTCCTTGGCAAAGGTAACATACGGTTAGAGGTGAATGGGATGATACAGATTATTACTGATGTATTTTATGTGCCAAATTTGAGAACAAACTTACTGAGTATTGGGCAGTTGCAAGAAAAGGGCCTTGCCATTTTGATTCAACATGGCAAGTGCAAAGTTTTTCATCCAAAGAAAGGCTTAATCATGGAGATAACGATGTCTTCCAATCGTATGTTTATTTTGCATGCCATGGCTCAAAAGGCAGTGTCTACTTGTTTCAGCACCATTACTGAAGATATGGCACAGCTTTGGCACCGTCGTTATGGACACCTAAGCTTTAAAGGTTTACAGACTCTTCAACAGAAACAAATGGTTGATGGTTTACCCCAGCTAAAGTCTCCTTCAATGCTATGCACTGATTGTTTAGTAGGGAAGCAACAAAGGGACTCCTTTCCACGACAAAGCACTTGGAGAGCTTCAAAAATTCTGGAATTAGTAC